GCAGGCTTAAGCTGACGATTTCCATACGCAATGACGCGCTTGTGTCCATCAACATCTTTCTGCAACAATGCACATCCAATAACAAACTCAGACGCGTCACAGACGACACTGATAGGCCACTCAGGTTCACGCAAAGCCAAAATTAGAGCCTGAAGGAGACTGTCCCTTCTAGCATCAAAATCTTGAGCATGAAATGCGTCCAAACACCCATTTGCATCCTTTTTGTAAGAGGTTGTTTAATGGCCATGCCATGTCAGCGTAGTTTGCACTGTACTTGTGCAAGTAAAAGGCAAGGCCTAGCCATTCACGCAAGTCCTTTTGGTTCGACGGAGCCGTTCAGTAAACAGTTGACTTTGCCCTATCGAAATTCGCTTGAAGCCACATTTCCGATGAAACAACCTAGAAAGGGAACTTACTTCGCACCACAAATGAATCTTGATGCATTTGCGTACAGCTTGTTTGTACGCATGCACTCGAGCACTGCTCGTAAATGTATAATGTGATTGCCCAAAATGGAACTACCATGGTCTGCACGGCTATAGACAAAGATGTCATCGAACTAGCTTTGTGTATGTTCTAGGTGAGGTCGGAACAATTGCGTCACAAGAAGATTAGATGTAGCCGGGGCATTGACAGACCTTGAGGCATGACAAGCCACTTCCAAAGCAAACCGCTTGGAGTACTTACCGCTGTGAGAAGAAAATCATTTGCTCGAACGAGCAATTGATGATAATTATCGATCAAAATGAGCGAACTGAGCATTGTACACCCTACTATAGCGTTCTGAAGAACATCCTTTCTCGGAATGGGCGTTGGTGCCGGTATAGTGGCTGCGTTAAGCTTATTGTAATCATGCACAATGCGCCACTTGCCATAGACTTTCTGACACAAAATGTCGGTGTCGAGTGCGGAGACTTGCTCTCATGTCCATACCAGACGTGTGCTTTCCACGAAAGAACTAAAGGATGTCACACTGCGTCTTGAGTAGAGTCATTGCCTTGTCACACAGTACATGGTTCCAGGAATCAGGTCAATTTCATGACTTACACCTCGATAAGGAGGAAGAGTGGAAGGTGGATCGCGACACACCTCATCCTGAAACTCCTTAACTAATTGACAAAACGGGTGCTTAGAATTTTAAGATCGACGAACCACTTCAAGCACTTAGTGCCGCCTTCGAGTCTTTCAGGACAGCTTTGTTTAGAAGTGACGACGAGTTCAACTCACTATCGGATCTAATAACCACCACTTCAGATAAGTCACTGGACTTTAAGGTCAGACCAAACGTATTAACAGATAGTCCGCCTAGCTCTGACAGAGTATTCAGTGAGGGCAGAGTTTCAAGAATCACTGACCCATCACCAGTCACTCCATTGATGAGTTTATATAGATGCTCGCTAGTATCACTCAGTGACGTAACAGACGCCTTGCGTTGCATAGCAGAAATATGGCGACGCTGCCATCTCTGTGACAATACTAACGTCTTAAAGAGACTGGAACTTTCTCGTTCCCAAGGTTGACATCACCATCATTCTTAACTTGCTCTGTACAAGGGATGGTTCCATTACCAACACCCAGGACAATAATGTCCCTAAGGTTGACATGAATATCAACATTAAGTTGCTCATTATCAGAGCCGATGTCGTTACCTGTATCCGAGACTATACCACCTCAAGGTGAAGAAATACGTCAACCTTAATTTCCCTAATGTTAGGGCCGATGTCATTACAAACATTCTGGACTATACCGCCCCCAAGGTGACAAACTGCGTCAACTTATATTTCCCTATATCAGGACCGATGTCAGTATCGACATCTGGGACTACACTGTACCCAAGGTGACAAACTACATCAACCTTTACTTTAGCTATATCAGATCCGATGCCATTACCGACGTCTGATGATGAGTCAATTCCAGTGATATCGCCACCCAGGGGCATTTACGTGCCACTCCACGCTCATCAAATAGGCGTCGCCCTTATTGACTTCGTGATATACCAACAATGTCTTGACTGTAATTCAGTGTGTCGCAATCACGGCCAACATCACTCAGTGGGTACTAACGTGCCACTACACGCTTATCAGATGGGTTCAGCCCATGATGACTTGGCTCTAGGCCAACAATGCATTCAGCATTCAGTGATTCGTTATCACAACGATTAATTCTCGACGGATTACGTGTCGTTTCATTAACAGTAAACGAACTTGGCTCGCAACTAACGTTTTTAACATATTCCAGCCCAATGAATCAGCCATACCGATGTCCAGCACACTGGCTGTCACAGTCCGTGGCTCGCGCCAATAGCGCCTTTTTTTCTAGCAAAGGTGGTCTCATGACCCTTCATAGCTCCACTGCGAACAGTGCGCGTTGCGCCTAAGGTCTTCGACCTTCAATAATCCATGAATCATGGCATTCTATCCAGGCCATACCCAGAATGAGATCATACTCTTCATCAAGTTCAAGGAGTAGAAAGCGTTCAATACCGTCAAAGTACGAAAATATTATGCCTAAGCTCACAGGAACTTTAAATACAGTGATTAATGCACCTGTCGTCAAGCGAACAGTGATATTCTTATTCTTTTGCGCTTACATCGCCTTAGAATACTGCTGAATCCCTTTCAGGGAACGACGTCAAACATAATTTTCAGATATCTCAGAGTCAATCAATATCGACCATGGCTTATCAAAGCCCCTAACCGTTGCTTTTGCAACTAACAAGTTTGAAAGGTAATCATGCTTCGCGACAAGCTCATGAGACCACTTGAGGCGAGGCCCTGTTCTCCATCACCTCCCGAAGGTACAACAGAGCCTAAACATCCCCCAGAATGGCGCCCCGCGCGTACTGGGACTCGACGTTATTCCGCGCCTTACAAAATCATTGGTGAGCGACTGGATGTATGCTTGAATGAGCCTGTCTGTCTCATCTTAAAGAACAGTTGGGACAAAGATGTTTGATGCCTTGCACGTAAAGTATCTACGGATGTTCGAACGCTGTTTAAAATTATGCTCAGCTTCTTCATCTCTCTTAGCGAGACTAAGGTTCATGAGTTCTGCCCGATCTATGTGATGAGCAATGCTCGACGAGTTTGATTGTTACCCATGAGTCCCATATCGGGCAGCTTTAAAGTTGAACTCTGCGTATAACGCTGTATCCACTGCACCCTCAAATGTCAAGGGTCGTGCACGAAACACGTCTGTTCTAACAACGCCAATGCGAAGACCCTCCACAAAATGGTTACCAAAACCGTCTCAGGTAGGGGGTCAAGCTGCATAGCAGTGATGATAGCTCGAATCTCTTGGACATAATCAATTACGTATTATTACCTGGAGGGTAGACAGGAAGCGTGATCGCACGCGAAATGCCTGATTAGGAAGGGTAAATACCCGATATAGTTGCTTTTATATCATGTCCTAAGTAAAAAGCATCGTCTATCCCGATGCCAGAAGTGAAGGCCCAATCCCTGGCTCACCAACCTAACTTCGATAGGGCCAGGCCCATCTTTTCTGCTCTGAAAGCAGCAGGGACTTTCTGACGGCAACCTATATCTCTTGAACTCACAAAAGGAAATTTTAGCCTCTTTTCCTCGTGCTATTGACACCTAAAACCCGAGGGCGAGTCCTTAACTCAGTTTCCGGTATTGGAACATACCAAGTGGGCATGACAAATGCCAAATGGTTATAGACATGTCCAATCGACGTGGACTCGGAGTTCGAGAAGGCCTTAAGATGTGCATGAAGTGCGTCCGGGCATGTGCCATTTTAAAAGCCACTTGCTCGTTCCTTATCAACGCTTTGAGCTTCTCAAGTGTGACCTGCTGGGCCTCAGGGAAATTCATGGCCGTTTTCATCCTCGCAGAGGATTCAGTCTGGGAAGACTCAGGTGTACATTGACTACAAGTGCTACCAGGTGTAGCGGAGCTACTTAGCGATCATTAACAGAGAAATTCATCGACCCAAGAGTCTCTTGATTCTCACAAAATTAAAAACGCCGTATAGTCCTTAAAGCGTACAAGCTTAATACACCCGGTTCCAAAAGAATTATGATTCACAGAATCACACTAACTAGTCACTACTAGTTGAACAAGGGTAAGCGCCTTGACAAGACCAATGCTTTAAACGGAAACTAAGCTTTGACTTGGCACTTGTGTCCAACGATTCAAACGGGAATTAAAAATTATTTTATTCTTGAACTACGGTGACAAAACCCTAAAAACTTGTATGACTGACTTCTACATTGCGATCCTATGACAGAATTCCTATTTATTATCCCTTATCGAAAAGGTGCGGTATTATTGTAGGCACATGGTACCGTAACTGTACCACTCAGATCCACCGGTTTTTACCTGGTGTTTACACACAACATAATCGGTCCATTAATTACCGTCTGATCGCAATTCAAAGGTCCACTAGTGTAACGGGGCACTGGTCGCTGGAACTGCTCCAATACTAGTGCACCTACACTGACAACAGTGTAGGTAGTGACGCGCATCACGTCACGTACACCGTGCATGTGGAAAGATGACATTCTGTAGATAATCGCCAGCTGTTTTTATGGGAGATAGGTGCCAAACGTATACGGAATAGATGACTGGAGAAGAGCGATAATTAGCAACCAGGAGATAGTGAGCAAGTGACAGGCAAACGACAGAATCTTGTCAACCTCCTACTGCGTCAACGAACGTTTTGCTACAGGTTATAAGCTGAAAGGCCGGAGATAAAGACGCAAATACGAAGACGCCAGGTGACGTCGCGCAACCCGCGCCTGGACTCGGATCGCCAGCGCAATTCCCACCGATGGAATAAGCGCCCGCAGTGGTCGATATCTCGCCCGCTCGCTAAAGAAGCGAGGCGACTGACGATAAGATCATTTCCGCCCTCGTAGGATTGACGGAGCGCATGAGTCGTCGTAGCGCGTCCACAACGAAGACAAGCGGACGATCGGCACTGTTAAAAGTGGCAGGTTCACTTCCGCCCTTGGCGCAAACACGCGCGGTCGACCGATGATTGTAGATGCGCTTGGGTCGCCGGAGCAGAATCCAGCAGCTTACCCGGCGCTAGCGCCAGCGCCGGACGATGGCGTGTCGATGTTTGCGTCCCTGGCAACACCGCGCGGACAAGCGCCACCACAACAACGAGTTCTCGCGCAAGCAGCAGCACTAGCAGCAAGCGGGAGGGATAGAATACATCTTGACCCCGACTGCAAGCCAGCAAAATTTGGCGATCCGAAAGTTCGACGGGACCGAGCTCAACCGAGGGCTCAATAGTGGCTTTTGCGACTGGGGACGTACTTTGTTGCGCTCGATCAAGCTCGCCGAGTCGTCATGTGGCTTCCTCTGGTCGGATAACGTGAAGGTCGAGCTGCTCGGTCATTTCTTGTCGGATACAGCGGAACGCAACTATCACAAGCCAGGAATACGTGGCAAGCGCAACAACCGACGCATGACCACATCATTTGTCAGCTGCTGGCGACGTTCAAGACGAATATTACGGCAGCCAAGTGATAAAGCTCTTAAAAAAGAAGAAATAGGCAAAGTGAACATGGTCGGAGCATTTCCTCTACATGGTCGCCGTGAGCGACGCACGCGGTGAAGCGGACTCGCTCGTCCTGGACAACATCGTCCATCATGCGTAGCACGAGCTCATGGAAAAAGCCAAGTACAATTCACACGATCTGACTCCTTGCGGCACGCGGAGGAGCTGGCGCAGTTCGCGCATTTGATCGAGCACGGGAGTGGCGCGGTGTGACGCGAAGTCGTCGCAGCGCACGTTGACGCGAGACCGGAGAATAGAACCTGCTCTGGTTGCGGAAAGGTCGGGCACGTGCAGCGAAATTACCACGTTAAGGACGCTGCAGTGGACGAGGGAAAGGGTGAAAGCAGCGCAAGGGGCGGGATGCTTCTAGCGCTGACGGAGATGCCCAAGAAGGCGCAGGAAGCAGCAGATTGCAGCCCGAGCCGACAAAAGAGTATGACTACGGCGGAGAAAGCAGCGGGTCACAATCCACGCTGAGAAAAAGCCTGCGTGCTCAAGAAAGTGGCGCCGCGGCAAGATGACGGGCGAGTTTGTGTTCGCGATCGGCGACGCCGACAAGAGCGATCAAAGATGTTGGATCGTCGACAGTGGTGCTAGCCGCCACCTTGTGAGTGAAGCGTGACAGCTAGTTGAGTCGAGAGCGTGCAACGACGAGATTGCCATGGTGGACGGCGTGTCGCTTCATATGACAAAATGCGGCAGCGTGTGACTGAACGTCATTGCGAACGGCGCAGCGGTGATCGTGACGCTCACCGACGTCCACCTGGCGCCGAGCTGGCAAAGAATAAGGCATCCTGCAGTAAAATCGAGCGTTAAGGGCTCGCGCTCGTGTACGATGAGGACAAGCGCTCGCTCGCCCGCGCAGTGACGGCGCTGTCACTTTTGACGTGGCAATGGAAAGCAACGTGTTGTACGTGCATACCACGACAACAAGTTGACAGGGGGGAGCTAGCGGTGCCATTATGGCGGCAGTCGAGTTAAGCGCAGCCGGGGAAGTTACAGCCGACGTCTAAGAGGGAACACTGCTTCATTTATACCAGGGCTTTGCGCACTTGGCGTTTGACACCATCAAGCGGATGGCGCGCGACCCGGCGTCCGGCATACGTCTCACGAGCCACCGGCGCACGGCGTGCGTGTCTTGCATAAAGGGCAAGCAGACGCGCAAGGCGCAGCCAAAGCAAGACAGCGGCGTGATCTGTTTGAATCTGAAGGGTCTGATGACGCCTCAAGAGCACCTCAAGAATCGATAGTTGATCAACTTCGTTGATCACAAGAGCAACTACTGCAGGATATTCCTCGCGCGGACGAAGGAAGCCGCAGCGAAGCAATACGAGGCGTTCCTGACGCACTTCGTGAAGCGATATGACTGAAGGATCCACGTGCTTCGCACCGACGGCGGCGGCGAGCACGCCAACATGTACCTTTTCTGCAAGCGCACCGTAGTGGCGCGGCAGATCTCAAAGGCGTGGAACCAAGCGTCGAACGGGAAGGCGGGGCGTGTGCACCGCACAATTTTTAACCTCGCGCGAAGCATGATTTTTGCCTGCGCGCTGCCACTCAACTTCTGGGGCAACACTGTGTTTTACGCGATTTACGTGCTAAACAGAAGCCCGACGAGCTCTTACCGGAACGTGTGTCGCCACTCGAAACGCTGACGGGCACCGCGCCTGACTTGCGGAAGATCGTCGTCTGTGGGTCGCAATGCTAAATCTCCCGCGACCCGCGCAAGAACTCGGTGGCGCAGTGATTGCAGTTTGGGACGATTATCAGGATCAGCGACGACGCTTAAGGGTACAAGGGCTGGTTGAGGACAGCAGGCAAGGTAATTGTCAACCAGCACGTCAAAGGAATCGACACGATGACTGCGACTCAGGACGCGCAGCTGCAACACGCAATGTGCAGCGAAGACCGAGCCGACGCTGTTGAGGAGGCAGCACCAGAGCTAGAAGCATCAGCGGTGCCAAGATACGGAATGACCAAGGCGAATGATTCTTGGCTCGACAGGCCACGGGACGCGCGGCGCGACAAAGCGCGCACAAGCAGCAGTCAGTCAGGTAAATCCAGAAGCTGGTGAGGACGTCGTGAGTGCGGCGTTTGAACGTGACCCGCAGGACTAGGCCGGGGTTATGCGAATCACCATGCTAGGCGTCTGGGCGAAAGCGATGGAAGAAGAGGTTGCAGCTCTGCAGGATAGCGACGTCTGAACAATCACGCGACGAGCGCCCGGTTGTAACGCCTTGCATACTAGATGGGTCTCCAAAACCAAGAAAACTTCTGATGGCAAGCTGGAGCGGCTCAAGGCGCGACTAATGGCCTGTAGAATTGAGCAAGTGCTTGGAGTCGAATACGAGCTCACGTTCGCAGCAGTGATGTACCTCTCGACCACTAAGATCATTCTTGCGCTTGCTTCCACGGGGGTGCCTGCCAAGCATGGCAACAATCATATCGCATATGTCAAGGCGGACGAAGAGGCGCACTTGTGAATCTACCCTCAGCTGCCGCTCGGCATGAGTGTGTCTAGTGCAACGCTACGAAAATACGGTGCGGCCGGCTCGGAAGAGCTCGCGCTTGAGGTCTGGAAGAGCCTGTACGGGCTCAAGCAAGCCGGGCGGCTATGGAGCCAGCTGCTCCACACCAAGCGATCGGCCGCGGCTTTTCGATGCTGCGAGAGCGACATGTGCCTCTATGGAATCGCACCGGGACGGATCTCGTCGTCGTCGAAGTGTGCGTCGATGACCTCCTCGCAACCGGGACGAGTGCTGCTGCGGTCGATCGCTTCTTCGGCAGCCTCGCATCGCTGACAATTGAGGACTCAGGCCGAGTCAGCTAGTTTCTCGGGATGCGCGTGGAACTAAGCGACGACGGAGGGTATCGCCTGGACCAGGAGGAGGCGATTGGTGACCTTCTGCAGAGCAACGGGCTTACAGACGCGAATGCTACACTAACACTGATCGAAAACCATAGCAAAGACGAGCAGCAAAGCGACGCGGAGCTTTTTGGATCAGTGAATGCGCCTCCGGAACCGACGGTGCGCGATTTAAAATCGCTGGTCGGTTCGCTCCTTTGAGTCGCGCGCTGTACGCGCCCGGACATTGCCTTCGCAGTCCATAGGGCGACACGGCAGACTTACGCTCCGCGCGTGATTGACTGAAGTTTAGCGAAGCGCATCGCGCGCTATCTAAAGGGGACTGCGAAGCTGAAGATCACGATGAAGCCTTCCCAATCTGACAACGCAGCGGCGCTGCATTGTCAAAACGTGTCACTTGATGCGTTCAGTGACGCCGACTTTGCGGGCGACAGGGCAGACAGAAAGTCGATGACGGGCGGCGTGCTCCTACTGAATGTTATGCCGATAAGATGGGACGCGCGCAAACAGGGTGGAGTGTCGCTGTCGACGATGGAGGCGGAGTTTGTGGCCGCCAGCGAGATCGCGTGGAAAATGCTAGGGGTGCAAGAGATGCTAATGGAGATCGGGCTTTCGCCAGCGCTGCCCATGCAGCTGCCCATCGACATCCAGGCGGCTATAAGCCAGATTGTCGTTGAAGGCAAAGCGCGTGGACTTCCGCTACAAGTTCTCATGCTTTCCGGTCGATGTAGATTTATCGAAGCGCGCTACGTCATGTCCGAGCTGATGCTCGCGGACCTGCTGACGAAGGCACTGGATAGGAATAAGCTTAGGACGTTGCGCGTGCTTATGAAGATCGGTTAGAAGATGGATGACGTTGCAGGATGATGGAGACAGGTGAGAGAACGAAGGCACACTTAAGGAGGAGTGTTGTAAAGATGAGATTCTGGAGATTAGCATCAGCCTTTTTGCTGGTAGATAGGTGCGTAACGTGTACGGAATATATGACTGGAGGAGAGCGATAGCTAGCAAGGCAGGAGAGAGTGAGCAAGTGACAAGCAAAAGACAGAATCTTGTCAACCTCCTACTGCGTCAACGAACGTTTTGCTACAGTGCGTTTAGAGGAAGGGTCGCTAGCGAACGACGCTTCCAATAGGAGTCGAAAGTAACATCGTATTGAATGTAACTAAGTCCTAAGAATTTGTACCTATGTTTACTTCTAACTTAATTACATTTATCCTCACAATTGTCTGTTGAAGTCTTGCTCATCACTTATTGCGCGCGTCCATCGTGTATTAGACCGCCAGAGCTCGTTAATTTGATGGCCCATATCAGCCAATCGGTAAAAGTTTCTGAATCTTACCCCTTATGGTAATAATATTGAATATTATCAACCTTTATGATAATATCATAATTGGCAAGTGTCAAGGTTAATTAAATGTAACAGGCTCACCCCGTTACAGCTGGCGACTTGGGCGGCGTGTTAATATAATCAGAAATCTTTGTGTCTTATGTACGATGCTTGCATAGGGCGGAAATAACAACAGCGGACAATGCATACAGCATCGCATTCCATCCCTGTCACACTGATTGTAAGGTTCCAGGATAAAAAGTCTACAACATTGGTTGACGAAAAGTTAAAAAGTGATTACCAATTCGTTGATTATTACATTTAGTCAAAAGATTATTTTGCGTGAAATGTTTGTGTTTATTCCCATTACTCAGATACCAACAGATGGTGCGGTGTGACTTGCCAAATGACACAGAAATTTGTCCGATGTGACTTGCCAAATGTCACAGAAAATTGTCAGTCCTAACTTTTTGGGGTAAAATTGACGGTACCGCATCTTTCGATTACCGATCTTCGAGTCTTCAACAGTTCACTTAAGTCGACACGCTTGATCAATTGCAGTGGACAAAGTAAATTTTGTCAACAAATATGCAATCTGTCTAGAAGTAGGAACATACTGGGTCTCAAGTACACCACATCCAATTGCGTCTCGCTCAAAACGATAGCAGGGGTTCGATTACAGGGCGCCAAAGAAAGGCCGATATAGTAGACGAGCAACCACGCAGAAGTGGCCGCCCTGCCAACCCGCGCAAGGCGTGTTAAAGTTGGGTGGGCTGGAGGCCCTACTGGCCGAAAAGCCCCAATAGTGTAATGAGGGGCGCGGGTCCTGTTAGGAGTTCAAATTGAGTCACAGTACTCGCAGTTAACCCCAGGGTGATCTAAAGGACCGCGCGGCATAAACTTTCAAAACGATAGCATAGGTCCGTTTGCTTCGCTCGCGACTTGGATCCAGTATAGCAGGGCACCGATGTTGCGGCTTAGGGAGAAACAATCGATTACCGTAGCAGGTAACCGGGTCGCAAAATAGCTTGTAACTAAATGCCAGAGCCACGTTGTTTCTTGTGGTACAATAGAAGAAGCTGTCCACCAGGCTTTGGCAGAGAAATGAGCAACGCTTCTTTACTGCTTGGATTTGCAATTTAACAATTTTGAAATAGCATGACACAAGTAATAGAAATTAATTGCAGTCTTGCGACATCACTCGGATCGTTTCTAGTCAGATCAGCGGTCTGTTCGTTTTATTTCTGGATCACGCATAGTTTCCAGACATCTATCCCTTGCTCTGAGAGCCTTGCATACATTTCGACGAGTGTGTTGAGATTAAGCCCTTCAGTTTACTTTTTGTTAGTTTTAAGCAGCTTTATGCCGGATGAAACAAAACAGACCTACTCAGTTACCATAAATAGCTTGCTAGATCCGTCTTTGCTCGGCCATTTACATCCGCAAATGCTCAGCTGTCCACGTAAGGTAGAGATTACTTTGCTGCTTACCAATTTGCTCTGGTGATCGTACCACGTCTATCACGGTGCAAATCCATAGTTTATACAACATGATCGCTCAGTGCATACTCTTTTACCTGCAGAAGCGCAATAAATGCAGTAACGTCGTGTTTTATTAGCTGTAAATCCACAAAGGACTCTCAGGTAGAGAGCATAGCGTGTATGGAACGCATTAAGCGTTGCGTGCACACAAATACCCATGCTTGCGCTGCAACATGAATCATGTACTTCTAGGTGCGACACAAGGAAGCATCCATGATGCCACGATTCGTTTTTGCTTTCTTGTCTTCATCAAGAACTTTGTCCAATCGCCCTACGTACTATCTGTTGAAGCAAGACCATCGTACATGTCTCAAATATCAATCATGCCGAGCACTGTTTCGTTCAGTCTTTTGTTCCAGGTTTGTGAACACTTTTGCTTCGCATCTTCGAAACTTATCGGCCAGGAAAGCTTACCTATTTCATCACTAGGCTCACATCCTACCACTTGTAACGAACACTATTGCAAAAACGGCCTTCAATGAAGCCTGACCGTGATGTCATTTTCGTTACGAGCATACCAAGCGTTTTAGACTCTTACCACTTATTATCACTGATAAATAACCAATCTTCGGAAAAACTACCGACCAAGTGTACTGCGCCTACCTTACTTACAAGCAGTAATCTTCACCTTAACTTCGTCGTACCCGGTGGCTCTTGTAGTTCGGATTCTCGTCCCCCACATCGCGATGCCGCTTGCGACCAGTGTCACGTCGACTATAGCTATCGTGGTTGCTCGAGTTATAGCAGTCAGCAGCAAAGTGCCCAGACCTGCCGCATTTATAGCAGCCATCTCTGCTCCTACCGTATCCATTCGAGCGCGTCGGACACTCGGCCGCAATGTGACCGGCCTCACTGCACACAAAACACGTTTGCACAAAGCGCCCGCTAGCTATCCGAGCAGTGAGGTTGACCGGGGCTGACTTATTGTACCGCCGGCATCTTTCCATTGTGTGGTTCTCCGCGCAGTTCGGGCAATACACACGTCGATCAGCAGGAGGCGGCACAGGCACACAGTGCAGATGTCCCACTTGCGTGCACACCATGCACGTTACTTGCTCTAGATTGTTTACATTGCCGCAGTTGTCTTCCACATGACCGGTGCATCCACAAATTCGGCAAGGCTTGATGGTCAAAGCTCGATTGTTGCAGTTCTGACGTTGTTTTCGCACCAAACGTGCACAAATTGCGTAAGAAGACAAAGCACTTCAACTCACACACATAATAGCAGAACAGCACCTTACCTTATCCTGGTGTCCTAACTGAAGACAATTTGCACACGGCAGATTCGGACACGCCCACGACTGATGTCCACGTAGTGCACAATAGTAGCAAGGCGGCTGCAGCTTGTCGTTCATGCAGACACTAGCCATATGACCCACCTCTCCGCAATGATAGCACTTGGTGGCTAAGTCCGTCAGAAAGTACCTGCTCTCCTTCCGCTTGCGCCCATCCCCCTCTTTCTTCGGCATCTTCTGGTTATTCCCCGTCCCCTCATCCTTTCTACTTCTTTCCATCATCTGCCTGCCCGTGCTCGTCTCAAATAAAGGGGCACCAACGTGCTTTTGACCCAGCAAAAGCTCGCCCTCCGCTGCACCTTCTTCTCCAGCTGTTGCTATGGCTTTTTCCACGTCCACATTGCCCGCAGTACCACGAAACCGCGAGCTAAAGTCACTCAAGATAAAATCATTCAGTGGCTCGAGACACGTGTCTTCCGCGACCGCAACTTTGCGAGCTCCAGCCGGCACGAGGAAACGAGTCTGAGCCCATTTCGACAGTGTCACTCGCTTCCGCCGCTTCTCTTCCTTACTACTGAAGCTGAAACCGTCGTGTTCGTCATCATCAATAGTGATTGCGTCATCATTTGTGATTCCATCGGTCGTTGACTTAATCAGCGAATCGGAGACATGTGCGCATGTAACGGATCTGCTGGCGTCATCACCAGTATCAGAATCTGAGTCCACGGTGATACCCGATTTCTGATTCGTCCCTTGATGGCGACCTAGAAACGGCGTAACCGAAGGCGCTGGACGGTGGGCGCGTGGGTCTGACGGGTCCATCACGTGCATCACCTCGTCTTCACTGTCACACGATGCACTCACGTCGCTCATGGCGCTCAGCACGCCCGCGTTCTCGCCGCGCATGTCGCCCCTCGATTCGTCTGATCGTCGGTGGCAATGGTTGGCAGCACGCGACTGTGGAGCTCGCTGATTCGTCGAGCGAGCAGGATGATTGAATTAATGACCAATCAAAAGCACGGCATGTTGTTTTGGGACAATCGGAAAAGGGTGTCACGCGTAACCGTGCGAGATTGGGTTTTATCCTGGTTACACGAGCGAAGGAGATAAAGATAATGTCGAGTATCGTTCAAGATCACCCAAAAAAATCCCCCTTTTTTATTGGGATAAAAGAGAGAGACAAAGTGCTGAGGCAGACCACGAGGATGACGTCGATTGATGAGCCGCTGGACCTGATCAAGCTGAGCGTGGCAGAGCGCATCTACATCAAGTGTCGAGGAGACCGAGAACTACGTGGCGTGCTGCAGGCGTACGACCAGCATCTCAATATGGTGCTGAGTGACGTGGAAGAGACTATAACCGTGCAGGAGCTGGACACCGAGACGTACGAAGAGCTGATTAAGCAGTCCAAGCGCACGATTGAGATGCTTTTTGTGCGCGGAGACGTTGTGATCCTCGTGGCGCCCCCGCTTCGCACAGCCTGAGAAGAGAGACCTGACCGGATACTTTAGTTACACGAGGTTATTCGCTGTTGGTTTCAGGATGGAGCCCCGTTCCGCTCATTTCCGTCTTTTGGTAGCAACCGTGTCAAGCGTCACAGGCATTTGATAAAGAACGTCACTGGATAAATGATACGTAGTCAGTCATCTTAGAGTTTGTCATTAATCGACTGGATCAGGCTCGCTGAACGAATGGAATGGGGACTCCAGGTGACTTTTGATAACATGAGCACATAACCTGGCTAGGCTTTGGAGCCTATTACGTCCTTGTTGTCCATTTGATTCGCTTACTGCTGTGGCTACAATACCTTATCAGACGCCGCAAAGCGCGTAGTAAGTGAGTGTAACATACAAAAAAAATCAAAACCTGACGAACGATATCGGTCGAATCGTGACATGTACAATGCTGGCGGTTTAGTTCGTTCGACCAAGCTTGCACTTTGAACAACTTTTCCTTTGCTCTGGCCGTCATTGTTAACAGCAGACAAGAGCCCCAAAACCCACAAGCAGGTATTCGAGGTGATGCACATAATTAGGTAGGTATCCGAATCAAAGCTCAGTTTCCTCAACAAAGAGCAAAACTTGACAAAATCGCGATCGGTCCCAATATGAACCTACGCACCGGTACTAAAGTAAACTACCGTGTCAGCTTCAAGCATCAATTATACGACCAAATGCGTCAGCACTGATACAAAATAAAGCAGATCTTGCATCTGTCACTAATATTGATTGACTCGCAGAATCAAAACACACTTGACTCCCTGGAACGCTGATACGAGCAAAGCTTATTCACCGACGACATTCTAGTCGTCAGCAACATTGTTGCTGCTAAAGAAAAGCATATGCTCTGTTCATTTTACGTAACAAATACCAGTCGCACCAACGGCTGGTTTTGTGCTGTGTGCTGTCCAGCGTTTGCGATATCTGAGCAAGCCGACTTCTTGTAATCAATTTATGGCTTCCAGCTAATGTAAGGAAGCAACTGTGTCACGACTGCAAAGTTCCTGTCGGCACGACACATCAGTACAACCACCGCATCCTTACCACACGACTACAGCACGACTCAACAATAGCAAAGTGAGGCTGTAGTGCAACTGCCCACCGACGTGTCGCGAAAATGACAATACTTATGTTCAGGTAACAGCGCTTACAAACCTCAAACGGTCTATCACATTGATCACATTATGGATAGGTGTCACTTATGAGCACCTCCTTCGGGGAGTAGCATACAGGCGTGAATATGCCGACAGCGGAAGGCGCGCCGGAGTCGAGAGCAAAGCAGTCTTGGATCCATCGTCAGCACACAGCAGTGAGACCACGTGTCGCCATTCTTCAAATTTGACTTCGCTTGAGTGTTCAAGTCCCAGGCGATCGCGGCCACGCGGTGTGTAATACTGGATCCAAAACCACAGCAAGCCGCGGAAATTATTACAAACGTACCCTTGCTTGCCACATACATCTTCGTAATCACGCAAAGCCTCAAGAATAGCCGGGAGCCGCTGCCGACGATGCTGAAAGACGAAAATGACTATCGCGGTGTTCAAACAGCAAATATTTTCGTGGTTGATGTCGTCCATTGTGACGATCGTCATGAGATCACGTAGTAGGCGCACCAGATTGACGGTTAGAAACTCGCTCATGCGGTCCATCTCAAAGTCATCTGCTAGACCAAACGTTCCACTCGTAGGCCGTTTTGCGAACTTCTCGGAAGACAGCAGCATCGACCGGATGAACACATTCGAATCCACTAAATTTAGTACCACTACTTCTGCAATATATCAAGAACGCACAAACGATGTCAACCAGCAACATGCGTCGCGCAAGTGAAAGAATAACGAACGTACCCATGAAAGCTGCAAACTGGGCGTTGCTTAGCAGCCCATGGAAAAGTTGCAATGTCAACCAGTTGCCCTTGGTCATTTCTCCAAGCAAATCGAAGGCTGACTGGAAACTGCCTTGTGAACGATAGGCACCTCCGATAAGAATCTCGTTAATCAGCGCATGTAACAATGGCGTACGGGCCACAAAAAGCTGTTCACTGGAAGTTGCCCGCCGCAGAAATGCTTCCACGCAAGAAGCCAGCCAGAACCGATAAATAGAGTCAACTGGCTGTTTAATGAGCGCGTGTATGATCTTCGACAGTAACCCTTTGTCCGGATGATCGAGGTCGATGGGCGTAGAACTCCCATCATTCATTAGCCGAATCTCATGCTCACTAAGCAACAAGAGCTTGCTAGTGTTGTCACTGTAATCGCGGTCGCAAAAATTATGGATCAGACGGAGGAATTGAATCTTTAACGATGCATCCAAGCTGCAGTCACAGCCAGGTCCATGCAACGACTCATGAACCGGATTCGAGGGCACTGTTGTCGTCCACTGGAACTTATCAAACATCGTGTTCAGCGTTTTCACAAGCCCCACCTCTGCAAGCCGTTCCTGGAAATCCACTTTGCGCTTGCCATTCAGCAGCGTACAAAGCACAAATAGCACCTCGACGCGGTACGGAGCCAGCACAATCGACTTCATGATAATTTGCGCCTCTGCGTCTTCCCGAGCGCGTTGGTCGGGCGATCGATTACGGAAGATCAAGTCCCGCAAGATAGCCGTCTCGGCAGAGAACGGTTGCTGCGGCTGCAGATCCGATGACGAAGACAAGTTTGAATCACCTCCTGCCGCTGCAGTAGCTTGTTCTTGGTGATGTCGGTGAAGGATCGTGAGATCGTCGGAAGCGCCAAGTACTGGATGTGTAACAAGGCGATCAATTGTGTCCCAGTCACTACGACCGCTCGTTTGGTAGAGTAGAGTCGCAAACTCGGCAGACGTGGCGAGCTCGGACGAAAACGGCTCATACACTGGATTGAGTGCAAAGTAAAAGTTCTGCACTTGCAAGACCCGGAGCAGTCGCTGCAGGATCAACGGCGCGTTGAAAATAAGCGCATGGTTGCGGTCCACGATGTTGTCGGCACGTATCATGCGGCTGCGGCGGAGCTTCAGCAGTTCCAGCGACTTGATCACTTCTGCAAGGTAAATAGCATTAACACAGGTAAGTCAAATAGCTACTCTACCAATAATCAACGAAACCACAGCACAACAAGTCAAACCGTCCACGTACTTGCACTCTCCAACAGTCTTCGGTCCTCCGGCTCAAACACCACCAGAGCCAGTACCCGACAAAAGAACGCCAGCTGTCGCGAAGACAGCGACTGCATGATCGCGTGAACGTTCGCTACCGCCGCAGCACAACAGCACCACAAAAACGTAAGCACCTTCCCCTTCCTACACCTCAACAAGCAGCAAATTGGCACGTACGGACGCGACTGAGGTCAAACGACGTGTCTCGTACGGCCAGAATCTCTTCCACCAGTCCAGACGCATTGTCAAAGAACCGGACATCGCCCAAAAGCTGGAACAAATACACAATCAAGCCGTCTTTATCCCCTAGCTGGAGGGCCAGATTGCTGGAAAAGTAGCACAATTCCCGCAAAATCGCCAGCGTATCGTTGAGAATGTGTCGCCTTAGCGACGCGTCGGCTCCGTGCTTTCCTGGAGACACAACAACGGGCACAGGCAACTCCCAGAGCGCCCGCACGTCACTGCGCGGACTCACGCCGTGCTTCTGACGGCGCTCTCCGTCCAGCACGAGCGTGGACCATATCGGCGGCTGCTTTGCGGCTGCTTCGAGCATCAACTGGTCTTCGAGACGGAGCGCGTGCAAGACACGCAGTAGACACTCGTCGCCGCCCACTCGCAGGAACGTCTCGCGCTCGGCCGCCACGTACCGACCGACGGACTCGTCCACGTGTTCGCTGGGAGACGTGCGGTCGAACTCGGCGTGGACCCCGCTCGGGTCCAACAGGCGCTGCACCAGCTCCTGCAGCACAAGCCGCAGCTTGCGGCGGTCCTGCGCCACGCCGTCGAGCATCACGTAGAGCTCCCGCAGGAGGAGGACGTAGCTCTGTTTCCGTCCTTGGAACGAGTGCTCGAGTGTGTTGGCGCGCGCTTCGTCCGCATCGAGAGACGCGACAAAGTCCAGCGGCAAGTCGGCGACGGTCTGGAGACGCGGACGCGCGCCCTGTCGCTTCCACTGCGACGTCTGTGTGACGCGCGCAACCGTCGACGGTGTCGTCGCACCTGTCACTTGCATGCGGCACAACGTGTGGAACACGCGGCGCCGCCGTGTCGCGCTTGTGTGGCTCGCCATCTACCCGCACTTCCCTGCTTCGAAATGCGCGACTTGCTGTTTGTATGTGCGCGCGCACGCCGTGAGACGAGAATGAATGCGGAAACCTACGCAAACGCATGAGATTTCCTTATGCCCGAGACAAGGTTTCCGATGCCAAAGGAAACCTTTCCTTTCGCCTCGGAAACGGTTGCACCGACATTCACTCTTGACACGACACGAATGACCGACGTCGAGCTGCAGGCACCGCCCAGCGATGGCGTCTCGTGCGTGCGCTTCAGCGCGCAGTCGCCGCTGCTGCTGGTGGCATCGTGGGATGCGACGCTTCGTTTGTATGAAGGGGTTCGACTGCGCGCGAGCGTGGACATGGACACGCCGGTGCTCAGCTGCTGCTACGGCCACAGCGACGCTGAGGCTTTTGCGGGTGGCTTGGACGGCGATGTACGTCTAGTCGACGTCCAGACGCACCAGAAGACCACACTCGGGACACATGAAGCTGCTGTGCGTCACGTGGGCTACTCGAACGAGCTCGGACTCGTCGTAAGCGGTAGTTGGGACGGCTCGATCAAGATCTTTGACGTGCGGAACGGCGCCAAGGCGGAGGTTCACCAGGCCGCCGTTGCTGGAAAAGTCTTTGGCTTGGACGTCCGCAGTCACTTGGTGGCGGTCGGGACGTCGGAGCGACGAGTGGCCGTGTACGACTTGCGGCAACTGGCGCGGCCATTGATGGAGAAAGAAAGTCCATTAAAGTACCAGCTGCGCTGTGTCCGTGTGTTTCCCGACCTTGAGGGGTTTGCTGTTGCGTCAGTGGAAGGCCGAGTCGCGCTCGAGTACTTTGACGACGACGAGCGGACGACGACGGAGGAGCCGAGTCGGAAGAAACGCAGCTACGCGTTCAAGTGCCACCGCGGCAAAGTGGACGACCAGGCGCTTGTTTATCCCGTTAATGCGATCGCGTTTCATCCGACGTACGGTACGTTTGCCACTGGCGGATGTGATGGAATCGTGAACCTCTGGGACGGCGCCAACAAGAAGCGCATCACGCACTTGCGGCCGTACCCGACGAGCATTGCAGCCATGGACTTTAGTCACGATGGATCAGTACTAGCTGTTGCGGCCTCGTACACGTACGAGCAAGGCGAGAAAGAGTACGTGAACTGGTGCTTGCTGCAGATGAATGGGCGTGAGGCGGTAACGAGCGATGGATCTTGTGGTTGTTGGTTGTTTATTTGCTTAGCCACCCGAACGACGCTATTTTCCTTCATACGGTGCAGGATTCGGAGGTGCGACCCAAGACAAAAGCTGCAGCGTAGAAGGCGGGACTGGATATGTGCAAGATTGGGGAGAGTTGCGTCGATAAAAGGGTACGAAGTGCTTGACGGAAATGGTTGTTTGAAGCGAGAAAAACGTGGTTTTTTGACCGGCATTGCCTCACCTCAGCTATTGCGCACGAGTACGTTGGAGAGAAATAGAGTGGTTGACGATGCAGAGATGTTTGGAATTTATGCCATCGTTGCTTTGTTGTAAGGTCGTGGTAGAGATTTGACGTGCTACAGGATGCATAGAGGATGGTGCGATCGCTTGGTGCACAGGAATCGGAGGTCCCACTTGAAAAGCATGTGGGGCACTTCAGAGCGCACCATTGAGATACCGTTCTATCTCTGAGTTGTTTTGGTCCTGCTTGGTACGTCGATGTGATTTTTGATACATGTCGCCGCTTGGCAATGTGCTATGTTTATTCTGGTTGACAGAAGGATGAAACACAACCCTTGTGTGTATATTTTGTCCTTGGCTACGTATAGACACTCTTCGTTTACGTGCGTTGCATTCGTCACAGATAAGTTCACCGATCTGCGTTGGGTGGCTGTACAATATGCTCGGGCCGTTTGTCGTGCCTTCTCATTGCATTTTGACGAAATGTCGCTGCTTTTCAGGACGCTCCGTTTGAGTCATGCACCATGTGTCATTCGCAATTGCTTGCTGCTCACGCGACGAAAAATCTACCGCCACCGTCTTGCAGCCTACGTGGATTGTAAATACTTTTTGCTTCACTCATGGGGAGGGGTGCGCTAACATCTGTGCTCAACGCACCGCCCATTTGCCGTGGACCTGCTTGTTGTGGTGGTACGCCACGACGCGTTGGCCGTAAGCGCCTTCAATTATTACGGTGAGCATGTTCACATCATGTAAGTTGCAACTATGGAGTATTCTGATCAGCATTGTGGTTTCTTTATTAACATAGAAATGCCTAGCAGTGGCGGTCCTGACACATGGCTGAAGTTCCTGTGCTGTGCACAGCTGCTCGATGGTGGCGGAGTGCATAGCAACTAAAACGTTTGCCTGCAATCATACGCATGAAACAACAATTGAGATCGTGACAAGATTGGCGCAGGATCTCGCTGGTGCTTCCCTAGATGATAAGTCATCACTCTAGGGGTGACCGAATACCGTAACACGCATGTACTAGGTGCCTGTGACTTCAGGCTTTCAGCTTGTTGACTGCATCGAAAGGTAAGTAAGTGGTTCTTGCATATGCGAACGTGCCACCAGTTCCGCCCATGGCGCATGGTTGTCCAAACGGTGCTGTAAGCGACAGGTTGACAGACACGTTCATTTTACACGAGCTAATCGTTTTGCTTCCATTCGCGGCTTTACGATGAGGTGCATGGTCAGCAAAAACGAACACAGAACGCATTCAAAGGATGCTCATCACTTCGGATTTCTCCAGGCTTTTCCATAAAATAGCTCTCTTGGTGACAAATGTGCGCAAGCGAGACCCGCTGACCAAGCTTCGTCGAAGCTTCTGCTCTTGCTGCTATTTGAACGACATTCGCGTTACCGATAGCAATCACGATTGTCAGCCACGACACTAGACGTGTACTCAACACTCCTTCACTCATCAAAGGACGCTCGACAAACACCGTTGCCAACAGCGCTTTGATGCGCTTTGACAGTGTGATGTCAGTAGACGCTAATATTCGAGAAATGCATGAACGATCAAGTCGTCCAAGCGTTTTGCCTGGATACATCAAGTTCCGGTATATTTTCGCACATTTGTTTCGGACATGCGATCGCGCATTTATTTATGAGCCAACGGCTAAAGATTTTGCAGCGGCGAGCGTCATTATGTCACGGTACGATCAATGTTGTACGACGACAACGTCGTCAGGGACGACGTCGCAAGCGCATTTGGCTTACAAATATACCCATCACGTACGTACCCGTGATTGATAGCTCCATCTTGCATACGACCCGCACTAACGCTAACACCAGCCAATAATGCCAATATCGACTGCTGATCGCGACAATCGCACTGCGGCTAGAACGCGACACGTTGCATGCCATCAATAATACATGCATCTCACTTATCTGCCGACCCACTCTGCAGCAGACAGCTGGTACAGGTGCGTCCATACTACGGTGCTAACATTATAAGTCGATACCGGCGAACATGTGCAAATCAAACACACCACATTGACAAACAGACCAACGAAATGTATCCAAATGACATCAAAGTAATTCATGCAAGCTACCGGCAAGCTTCGGCTCTATCTAGTGAGATCGTCACATTCGCTTCAGGTTCTAATTGTCGCAGAAATAGAGAGAGATTTCATGACGGTCTATTAACATGTGATTATGTACAAGGTGTCTGAAAACTCCTGAGCCAGGAAATCAAGTCCGGATCCGGAAGAGTTTCGTGACTGTTACCCGGAGGAGCCCCGATGTCTCGGGGCGCTTGGGTAAAAAGTTCGATGCCGGCATGCAAGAGGGCCCCTTGGCAGACGGTACCGATACCCCGATGCTCACGTTAAGCCAGCGCGAAGAGTTGACGTATCCCTGTCTCGCAAAAACGGGAGACACTATGCGATGCCGTGGTCAGCACACCCCTGAAAACCGCATCATTTCGCTCCTGCCATAAGTGGGTGAGGCACATGGTACTCATATGAAACCAAATCCGTTTCCAGACGCGGACCCCTGCCGCTGCGTCATCCGTGAATCGTTGATGCAACCGGTGTTGCAGCCGTGGTGAGATAGCTGGGGCTTGACGATTGGCACTGCCTAAATATTGACAAGTACCAAACAGGTCTGCCACAGTTTCACCGGTCCAATGACCAATTAATTTTGCCCAACACGAACGCGCCTTCGGGCAATCCCAGAATATGTGAGCCAGTGTTTCTTGAACCCCTCGACATGCTTGATGTGCACGGCAGCTATTGTCGTCTTTACGATTCTCATGGTAAAGGTTGAGTTGCTTGGTTGCTATACGATAGCAAGTCCACACCTGGTATTCTGTGAGCCCATGTGCATGGTCCCAAACTTTGGACGGTCGCTGATGCGCTACAGCTCGCTGCCATTGGTCCGTTCTCGTGGCAGCTTCCAGGCGCTGCATCAGTGGTCGTGATGCCTTAGCGAGCTGACGTTTGTGAAGCTTAAACGACAGGCGGGAAATTGTTGTGCGAATGGATGCATTTGACACCGCATCTGCGACCGCCCAAGGAAACCGATGATGTCGAGGATGAGCGTAAAACACTACGCCGTGCTGCTGAAGTTGTTCAAGCCATGTTGCCCTTTCCACTTCACTTTCCGTCTCTAGTTCTGGAAACGTTGTAGTGAAGAACCAGCGAAACCCGTCGGCCGCCTGCGTCAGGCGGATCCTAGCTTCCTCTGGGACCTTGTGACCCCTTCTCACTCCAGCTATACGACCCCGGCATTCTGTGGACCAGTCATAGTCATGCCGAAAAGGAGGAGCGTGCCGAATTGTTAATCGAGGCTGGAGCGCTAAATCAGTCCCGATCCGAAAAGGTGGGGATGCCAGCAATATCGCCGTTGCCCATCGTCGTAACTTGGGGTGCGAATGATTGGTAACGTACTGTCCGGACAGTGGTATGCTGAAGACAAACTCAGACGGCCCCGTCCGCCTAATACGCAAGTCCGAGATGGAGCAGGGGACAATTCGGTCATACGTAGAGCCGAGCAACTGCCTGCCCCGTGCATCCCGGATATATGGATTATTGCACCATCCAAGCGTCCCCCAGAATTGGTGAATAGATTTTAAGTGAGGATCCGTGTGTGATAATGCTTCAGGAAAGGTCGAGTAATAGGACAGAACCCAGTCATCCTCTTCCCACCAGCTACCTGCACCGGCGAGTAGGCTTGGTGTGTACGCACATACCCGATCGCCGAACAGGCATAATTGGTCGTCTGTAGGCTCCAGGAGCTTGTCAATGTCCGCTATGAATGAAGTTTTAGGAGGCTTTGACAAAGAGGTTGACCACCCCCCTGACCGCGGCCGTTCTGGCAAAACAAGTGCTGAAGTAGTAGGCTGACCCTGATAAGCCCAAAAACGCCACGCTCCAAAATACTTGTCTTGAGCTTGCGTGAGCCACCGGAGAGCGTGTTTGGTGCGCTGTGTTTTAATAGCAACCTCGAACGATGCGAGCCCTACTCCCCCGGCCTTAGTTGGAGTAAAGAGGAGACCCGGATTAATCTTGTGACGGAACGCTTCTGTGGTACTTTTCGCAGAAATAGACCAGCTTCACAAAAGCTCGATCCTTTTTGCACTTGCCCGTGAGAAATTTCGCCCTGTTTTGTACCACACCATTCGAGTCATCAGTGGGTACCAGCAGTTCAGTACGAAAGACTACGCATCGGGTCGTGGCAGTCCTCATGTCGGCCCCGCTGTCGAGAATGTAAAAAAATAATTATAAAAATCATCTCGCTTTACAAAGGGTTACGATGCAGTGTTGGGTCAAAATGAGAAACAAAAATCGACAACAAGAGCCACCTGACGCCGCTTTGTCCCGCTTGACAAGCAGTTGGCAAGGAACAGTAATTGTTGATACCTGCGATAGACGGCGACGTTCAGTAAAGTTTGCAATATCACAAGATGAGTCCCTTCCAGCGTCCGTGATAATTTACCACATACTTTGACTCGGGGTTCGGCCGCTACTTGACGTTGCTCCTTTACTTATCCACTGCATCGGCAGGTATGTCGAAAGGATCTCTGAAGATCGCAAAATTGAATATGTTGTCATGCAAGTGCCTTTTGTGTTCATTAGAAACTGGCATTACGGACGAAGATTCTTCGAACTTGGCATTGCAGTCTCGCTCGTACTTTTGCATGCATCCAGATAGATACGATGCACCATCGATCGTGATAATGGTACAGATCACAATTTCATGGTATCACAAGTCCAGGATCTCCTTGCTGTAGTCGCAGCTGGGAATCTACATCCCAGCAGAGTGATTCCGAATCGGTAAGTCAGTGCGAATACATGCAGCTTATGGTTGTACCCACCATCCACAGCTCCTACACCGGCGTGCGATGAAACAATGGACATCATTGTGACTCTAATAGCAAGTTTCACAGCCTGCGTACCATTCGCAACCCACCGCGACTTTAGTTATTTTTTACGGATACGGCCGTCGATCCAACGACATCCTTTGCACTGACACAAGCAATACGACTTGAAGAGCGCTACAGATCCCCAAACAAACATTTTACACACGCTTTACACAGCAATCACGCGTGCGGCTGTGCTCGGATCTCCTCAAACCAACATGCTATACGTATGGGGACTTTTAACAACCGGATAAAATCGATGGATACGACCGATTTACGCGCATGGAAGGATTCACGGATAAGTAGTATCCATTTCTTTGTTCGCTTCTTTGGACTTGACGTAAATGACGGTATCCTTTTAGCTTTTGAAGTCGAGCGTATACATTGTTGTTGCTTGTGTCGACAAGCCATGCAATCAGCACGAGATCCGGTTTCGAAGCTGCTCGTTGCAGAACCGATGTCGCTGCTCTCGACGTGCTACTTGAATGTAGCCTCCGACCTTGCGAAGACTGTTTGCGCAATGTTCTGGTGCTTTCGTACAAACGTCGATTGTGATCTCCGAAGACTTGTGATGTGGCTGCACCCGCTCACTACTGGGCAATGGAGCACCGCTTCATCAAAAGAGCGAGCAAATATCTGTCTATGCAATCGTGACGCAATCTGTTTCCGGCTGTATGTAGACAAGCTATTGCATTGCGATTTCTTGGCTGCTACCTGACTTTGAATGCAAGTCAAGTTGTCGTCACCTTCATCGATGACATATAGCACCCAAGCTTCAGTGTCGATGGTCACGCTTTGGCCGTATGAGCCGCTAAACCTCCCACGTTCACCAGATCTGACTCGGTGAGCTGATCTCCAGCAAGTTCCTCCTCGCAAGCGTAGTTGTGCTGCTCATGTCATACTCAGCAATCTCGATAAAAGCACAGCAACTCGAGATATATATCGACTCGAATGCAGCCACTTGTCTATTGATCTTGCAGCTATACGCTCGGTCAGAAATAAAAGGATTCTAAATGCCTCATTTGCTCCAACACTGTACAGATGATCATCTTCCGCACTTCAGCTTGTCGTCCCTAGATTAGGACATGGCTACATTATCGTGTCCCACTTCGCACTGCTGTTTTCAGCCAATCCGAACGAGGTAGTCAGTCCACCCTTCAGTCTCAATTGCGTCCTTACAACCGGTTATGCTTCCAGCGGTGTTGCTGCTGGCCTCATTGGCCTCTAGCTCGTGGGCTAGTCGCGCCGACTGTGAAATCGACGGCATGGAGATCGACCATGGCAGTGTCAAGTATATACTCGGTCAAGCTCATCATCGTAATAGCATCTTCGCTCGGTGTTCGACTGGAGTAGCGACCTGCTTTGAAGACCAAGGACTGGTAGATGCACCGCAATGGATTAACAATAAACAAGTTGACTGCGAGCAGGTAAAGAAGCGCAGACGACTGGGAGTAGCCGTGACTCTGCAAGAGGATGTCTGGCCGGACCACATTGTGTGGTACCGCATTAACGGCTCCTTCTCTGACCATGAGCTTGAGGTCATAAATGCGGCCGTGGATCTCTACAGCAAAGCAGAAGTGAACGTGACGCTGCAAGAGTGTGATCCAGTGTCCAGGTGCAACGGCAAGTACGTTAGCATTGAGCAGAATGAAGACGCGTGCTACGGTGTCGTGGGGTACGTGAACGATGGCAAGCCGCAGCTCATGAATCTAGGTGAGAGCTGCTTTGCTGGCGGGATAGGCAACGTCGTGCACGAGATCGGTCATGCTATGGGACTGTATCATGAACACACGCACCAGGATCGAAAGGTGATTGTGCTCACGGACCAGAATTTGCCTGTCTCAGCTGAAAACTATGCCAAGAAGACGAGTCGTGAAGCTATACTCAAGCCGTACGATCCAAATTCCATCATGCACTACGGTCGCAGTGCAGGACTGTGCTTTCCTAAGCCGCAGTACCCGCTCGAGGCTTTTTGTGACATTGAGATTGTCAAAAACTGTGTCCAACCCGTGGAGCAGCACTGTGATGCAAGTCGAGATTCCGAAATTGGAACACGCACAGTCCTTAGTGCTGGCGATATCTACACCCTTCGCGCTCTTTATGGTGCTATCGATAGCTCAAAAGTGCAGGACGTCCAGATTCCAATTGTGGACTTATCTGGCGATGGAAGTGCAGGAGCTCCGGATTCCGTCCCTGATACGATTAAGTCCAAGTCGAAGGTCTCTCCTACAGTGGTCGGAGCCGAGTCTTCAGCCGATTACAATCCAGGAGCTGTGCGTGCCGAAGGAAGCGGCACGCGTTGATAGCAAGCATCTGAAATGCATCCTACTTGACTCTGAATGGCTGTGTCGGTCAGGTGACATACTCGCCAACGGAAGTGGGATCACGTCGATGCACTTTGTCTGAAGAGAAACGCTAGCTACACTGACACATTATCCCAAGTCGGTCAGCGCGATCGTATCAACTGCGGCGAGTTGTACTTGACCGATCCATATATATTGTCAGATGAATGTAAAATATTCAATACGTACCTCTTCGCCGGGTATTTTTACTCTGTTCATCATCAAATTGACCTGACTAGGCATCAGCAGAGCCTCATTTCGAGGTCCGTTGGGCCTGGGCAAGACAATAGTTATTGTTTAGTTGTTAGATCACACTACTGCACTTTTGCGGAACGATAAATGATACTTACAACCATCCGTCGTTCATGATTCCAAACGTTTTGTTCTCACATTGTCATTCTACATACATTTGCTACAGCGCAGCAGATACGACTGTTAATCACCCAAACGAGTGCCTTTCGCTTGACCGATGACGGTAAGGCAAACATGATATACTGATGTCCATCACTTGCACTTCTAGTTGTCTTTGTCTCTTAGATAGCTAAGCATCTGATGCTCTTGGCTTTTACCTTGTCAAGGTACATTTGATAGACAGAAATGACAACCGCGGGAATCTTTTGGTACCGTGACCGGTGCTGTTGACGTTGACGTTGAACACGATATTCATCTTGCAAAGTACAGCATGCATTGAACTCCGTCATAACTAAGGACGGTATCGGTCATCATGGTTAGTCAACCACATACTAGTCATGACATCATATTTCCAGGACCTCATCATGCGAAATAGTGTTATCAATTATCTCGACTTGCTCTGACCGCGGTGCGGTCGGCAAGAATAGCACAATGAAAACTAGCGAGACAACATGTCTGCTTGACCAGGCAAATGCGTATTAATGTTGACGTCCTGTTCTCTTTCAAGCAATGGCTTAAGTAGAATGTTGCCGTTCGTTGTTGTAAATGTATGACTTGTCCTTAGTTGTTGGTCTACCAGTTCAATCATGAAGGAGTTGATGTGTTGACCACGCGTGTCAACTGATGCCTCCTCGCCCAGGCATAATTGATGCAACATCGGCTCGGTCTCGTTGGTCTTGGACAATCTGCTATCCTACGCATTCTCTTCCCGATGCCATTAGGTCATGAAGCGGGTGATTCTGCCTTGACAAAGAAGTCAGGTTGCTTCAGCTACTTTTGAAGCTGCATCCATCCACCCTCCAAGTCTTCTTTATGAACAAGAGCTTGCACCTCACCTTACACACGATTCTGAAACGTGTCGATACAAATTCGTGACACGTAGCCACATGAGAACGATCCCGATACGGTGTGCAAAAAGTTGTCAGAGCCCTCCAAGCACCCTTCGTCCTCAATGGGTGTCCCATCCCAATGAGGTCTTCGAGAGACATCGAGATTCCGGGTATACTGAGAATTGCTGACGACGGTCCTCACAACGTTGGAAGTGTAGCAGAGAACTCCTTCGTCGGAGCGTCTAGCGGAACCAGCGACGGCATGCGAACCAGCATCGGTGCACTTGACCTCATTCATATATCGACTAGAGTCCGCAATCTTCGACCCGACACGCCTTTGCTGTACCATTACCGAAGTGAATGAGCGCATCGCCACAAGCCCTTCTAGCTACAGACCGATGATTGCTACGGGTCACGTTGCTATCCGCGTAGTCAAGTTGCAACATCACAAGTCGAGCCTTTTCCTCACGATGACAGTGCCGGGTGCAGAAACTCCTAATGGCAAGTCCGTCAAGCCTCGTGCGCGTTGGTCATAGGCATCCTTGACGCCAGCAGTCAGAACCCCTTGCTATCATTTGGTTGCCAAGCCATGCCCCGCATTCAGGTCGCACGTCACCTTCCAATGCTCAAAGTCTTGACTACTTGCCACCAACCCCATCTTTTCAAAGCGTCAACAACACCTTACATAGGTAAGCAGTACACAAAGACTGGTCAATGTTCATGTGTTAGTCGATGAGGAATCCAGCCTTTCCAGTCTGAAAGCCCTTCTCAGTAGCTCGACAGCCATCCCTTCATACCTTCAGGTGCGTCTCGGTCGGCCTAAGCACCAACCCGCATGCTTAGTGTCCATCCTCACTGCCAGTGTCACTGGTACTGTCAATATCGGAATCCGAGGCCGGTGTCATGTCGATCAAATACGGAGAACTCTGACCCGGTAAACAGCAGCGAGCCAGGAGCATCTGCGCCGCCATCCTTACCGGATGACGCTTCATGAACGCTAACGTCGGCACACCATCCCAGACGTGGTTAATCGCTGGATCAAAGTAGCGCTGCGGTTGACAGGGGCCGCTGATTTCACTCGTAAGACGAGGTTTGACCCCTTGTTCCTGGAAAGCAGCGACCGCTTCCGAAGGGTAGGCGAACCACCGCAGTCCCTCATAAGCCTCTGCAACTCGCTCCGTCTCGGAGAAATCGCCTCTTGCTGCATCCGCGATCGATTGGTTCGCAAACTCCAGAGCTTGCTCGAGATTGAGCCGTCGGTGAGCCGCGACGTTGCGAAGGGGGACCCGGACACTTGACGAGTGCTTGACGTTTTCCACGTCGTCGAGCTGCATTTCCGTCAAGTGTTTCTTGTCCGGGAACGCCACCTCCACCCTCGACTCGTGTCGCCAGCCTCCTGTACGGCAGCTGAAGCGGTACTGCGGGAGGAACTTCCAGCCGTGGTCAGCAACAAAGTGCACTGCATCCAGGACGTAGTTGACCTCGTCCGTATCGGCAAAGTACGGGAAGCTCATGCGGGCGACACCTGGTTTGAGAACCTCGTGCTTGGCATTCACTGCGTGTCCGAGGTCGAGAATGTGCTGACGACTGAGCCCAAGCAAGCGCGAGCCAAAGGGACCGGCACATTGACACCCTCCTCTTGCTTGCACGCCAAACAAGTCGTTGAGCAAAGCACAGACGAAATTGTGGTGCAGGAAACGGTCTCCGAAGCGGAACAGCATGGAGAAGATCGGCAGCTGATCCACGTCGTCACTCTGTCGACCAAGCACGAGGATGTTCTGGTTCCGACGGAGGGATTTACGGACCTGACGGACGTGGTGCCGCTCGAGGTCCATGATCCGTTCGGGTCCAACGCGCTGCTTAAGCTGGAAAGCTAGTCCCAACCGGATGCTCCCAAGGATATCGGGGGTCCCTCCTTCTTCCCGCTCGACCGGGTTACTCAAGTAACTGTGAGCTTTCTCCGTGACAAAGAGGACGGTGCCTCCACCTGGCATCGTCGGCACCTCGTTCTTCAGCAACTGCTTCTTGACTACTAGTACACCAGGAGACCCGGGACCTCCGATGAACTTGTGTCCGGAGAAAAAGATAGCATCCTTGTATGCTGCCGGGTCGTTCTTCGGGTTCATGTCCATGTCCACGTAAGGGGCGCACGTAGCATAGTCCCAACAGGCGAGGGCTCCGTATTGATGCAGGAGCTTGGACACTTTGTCCACGTCGATCAACATCCCCGTGAGGTTCGAAGCTGCCGCAAACGACCCGATCTTAAGACGCCGATGCTGATGCAGTTGCAGCTGCCGTTCGAGCTCGTCGAGGTCGAGGCCCCCGCCGTCAGCTTCCGGGATCGGCACCTCGTCGGCGCACGGACTCTCTCGCCACGGCAGGAGGTTCGAGTGATGCGAGAACGGACACGTGAAGATCACGGGTCGTTTCGTTGCCCGGTGGCGACGACGCCCTCGATTGATGTCTAGCGCGGTTACCAGTTTGTTGATGGCACTGGTGCAGCCTTGACCGGCAAAGATAACGACGTCTTTGGCGTCGTGGGCGTTCGTCGCTCGAGCAAGGAGCTGTCGAGCTTCTTCTCGAAAGGACGTGGTTTGCAGTCCCGAGACGGACGTGGTCGTGTGCGTGTTCCCGTACGTGGGAAGGACGTGGTCGTGAATAAAGCGCTCAATGCACTCGAGCGACTTGCCACTTGCAGTGTAGTCAGCATAGACCTGAGCTTTGATGCCAAAGGGTGAATGGAACGGGACGTTGCGTCCGATCAGATTGGCGGCAAGATCGAGCAGGAGCGAGTCGACGTGTTTGCGAGAGCAGGTCGTGTCGATGCGGAAGGAAGACTCGAGGGTCAAGGAGGAGGGACCGGTGAAGAGTGCCGGGGATGGCTTGGTTCGGGACCCATTGCGTTTGGATCGAGGTTTGTGGGGATACGAGGGTCTTGCTGCTGCTGGTTTGGTCAGGATGGACGACGGGTGACGGTGGTCAAGCAGGGGCGTGTCTAGGTCCTGGTTGTAGCACACCATGGTCGTGCCACGATTTGGTTGTGCTGCTGGTGAGAAGCTAATCGAAAAGTGACTAGCAGTGACGATGAAGAGAGAGGTGGCGACAATGATGACGATGATGATGGCTGGGCTCAATGAAGGTCATGGAGCAGGTTAATGGCCATTGTTGAGGACTTTGGGTGGCAGTGGGTCCACCGACATCCACAGATGTGTGGCCTGCGACTCGATTGTTTTGGTAGTTCTGCTGTTGGGTGAGGTGGGTCCCTCCCTCCCTGGACTAGAGTGGGAGTGCTTCGGCTTGTGGCCAGCACAGGCAAGTACACACGAGATGGGCGGCTGCCACGTTGGCCACGTCTGCGGATTCGAACAAAGCGGACAAGAAGCTGAACTCGTTGTGACTTGGGCTGGAACCGATGTGTCGACACTTAGTGTCCAGTTGCAGCGCCATTTCCACGGCAAGACCGAGGTTAAAAGACGTCGATCACGACATACAGGTGATGCCTAGATCGACTAAGAAGGATCACGACACAGGACGATCCCCATCTGTAGATTCGAATCACTTGACACCTTCTGAGAGGCCCTGATTGCTATACTCGCGTACGCCGCCCGTTTAGCGTTATTAGGCTTTGTGCAACTCGAATTGCTGACGATCTGATCCTCCTCCGTCGTGACGGCCGATGACGTGTGGTGACGGTGACGTACACCTTCTTGATCTCTTCCCGGTGTATGGAGAACAAAAAGCGGATTCTTGGTCACGGTCGCGGCGAATAAAAAAGAATCGGTAGCATCCACAGGTGACAACCCCTTCGACACTTGGATGCGATCCTGGGAGATGATTGCAGCACTGTCCAACGCCGTCGCATCCTACCTGCAACAAGTGCACATCTCCGGACTCGGCTTGGCATAATCACATCGATAAATGGCGTAAGGTGCGTTGCCTCGCACGAAGCTTGAGAACCGACCATTCTTCTAGAACATCGTAGCTGGCTACAGATACACAGATCATCAGCACGGGGCTCTTGACTTTCCACGCGATCCCTGACCTGGGACTGCAGTGTCTGCGCAACAGCTCTACTTATGAAGGAGATGCAAACAACGCTAAGCAACCGCTTCGGAACGGACCAGCGCTACTGAAGTAGTCTCTCTCTGAACATCCACGTGCCACAACGTTACAACTGGGCAACACATGCACGTCTCCATGTTTAGTCGTGGTACCAACGCTCGCCGTCAGCAGCACGACCGGTACTACGTGACATTACAACCTTAGCACATTTACCGAGTCAAATGACAGCTATATTCAGCATGTGTTTTCTCCAGGACTGCGCTGCATCAATCAGTCTCGGGCTTATGAGATGTCTCGGTGGACGAGATTGAAAGCAAGTGCCGCTCAGCAAGCGGTCCGGCAGCTACCCTCGTCGACGATAGGATCAGTCCTTTTGTGGAGTACCCGAATGGCTGCGGACGTTGCCAATTCGCTGGTCGGTTTTCCTCTCCTCAATCGATCCCGTACGGACCTCTTCTAGTAGCCGGTGTCAACACAATGTACACATGTGTCATCTCGCGTCAACCGTGGTTACTAAGTGTTAGCACCCTTTTTAGAACCGTTTAGTGCAGCAACATGCTCGAGTGGTCCAAGTCCTCTTTGCAGCACGGCAAACGGGAAGGCGATGCGTCCGGTTCTAAAAAAGGTTCTGGATGGGCGCAAGGATTGACAAGAAAAGCCACGCCTCGCATTACAGGATCCTGAGTGTGTCAAGGGTTTGTTGGAGCAGTCCATCTTCTAGCACCTACGAGTACATGGTAAAATCTGATGACGAATAAATCGCTTGGTGATGATACTGCAAGTTGCGATCATTCGCACGAGTGAATCTGAGGTTTAGGATTGCCGCATTATCTAGGGGGGAGTGCGCTGCTTTTCGGACCTGTCTGCTTCCTAGTTGGTGCTATTGCCGTCATTGCAGTCAGACCCGTCATTGCCCCACATTGGCGTTTTTCAAAGGTCCCTCTGCACTGATCGACTCGTGTTAGTACATGCTAGAGGAGTCCTGAAGACTATCAAAGTCTCGATCAGCTTTACATGGTAAGTGCACTATTGATTGACGCCCGAACCTTGTGTAATAGCTCTACAACTTTCGCGCCTTGATTAAATGAGTCACTTGCAAGCACCTATTCTTCCCAACATCTCCCAAGAACGGTCAGCACTTAGGCAGATAAAGCTACTCTGTAGCTCAAGCTGCGACCAATGAGAGACGCCGTTCGACGCGGATCTTATACACTCAACAACGTCTAAGCTCCGTTCGAAGGCAAGACCGAAGAAGTCTCGTCATTCGTAGTGTTGCACAATTAAAATGGTCCACTACTTGTCCTCTGCTGACATGGAGCGGCTTTCCGTTCAAGTGTAAATCGACATCAAGCGTCGGATCGAGTAGTTTAGAAGAACCTAGAGTAAACTAGAAAGTCCTGATGGAAACCCAGCTCCGACACACAAAGCTGCAGATTACTTGAACTCCTCACGCGGTACATTCGCACAACACACACTCTCAAGCGATCCATGTTGGAGGTAGGGTACGTTCGCACACTTGTGGAATAGCTCAGTTATAACCGTGACTGTTTTCATGTCGTCGCATGCTGTCGGTAGCTCCAGTCTCAGTGGACTGTACCTTTTTGCACTTCTCAAATACCGGTTTACCACACAAATCTGATACTCAGAACCCCTTCTGGCGAATATCGCATCACCGTCTTTTGTTTCAAACATTCTCGGCCAAAAAAACACACGCCTCCTGACAATTCGTTTTGCAGACCATTTTGGTGTTCAAATGACGCTCGGTGCCTTCGCTCTCAAGAAGAGCAAGAAAAAGACGCTCGTTGCGTCGGCAGCGTTTGCTGCATCGCTACCTAATACATCGCAAACGCTCGAGAAGGTCTTTGTCACTGACTTTGACCCGAACGCTCTACCTGCACTCACTCAAACCGGATCAAAGCCGCTCGTGATTCCGTTACTTCAGACCAACACCTGGAACACCACGAAACAACCTCCTCAACACGACAATGAAAACCACGACCAAAAAAACGACCAAAAAAACGAGGATGAAACAAACGTTCAAAACGAGGATGAAAAAAACGTTATTGAAGTAAATAAAAAACGCATTTCGGACGCGGCACTTGATCAACAAGTGGCAGCTGCAATTTGTGCCGAGGTGACTCAAGCACGACCAGGTTCGACCGTGTCTCATTTGGTCATTCCAGTGGCTGACAAGAGGGAGAAGAAGCGGGCGGAGCTGTTCCAAGACGGTGCAAAGAGGGCTCAAGACCAGCAGCAGAAGCCCCTTTTGCAGCAAAATGTGGTCCCAGGGCTCGACACGTTGCAGGATGTCGCAGAGAAGTACCGCCATGATGTGGCTTTGCGTCCTGACGCACTGGACGTGCTCAGTGACGTGTACGAGTCGGTGCCCGTGGAAGCTTTTGGCGCCGCTTTATTGCGGGGCATGGGCTGGAAAGGAGACGAGACAATGGACGACGAGAAGCAGGAGGCACTGCAGCCGAGACACAAGCTGCTGGGTCTGGGAGCGACGAAGCGACCGACACTAGCTGGAGAGAGTCAAAGGAAGAAGAAGAAGAAGGTGAAGAGGAAGGCTGAGGACGGAGATGGATGCTCAGAAATTAAGGACGAGAATCAACGGAGTGCTGGTACGAGGTTGAGGGACAGAGAAGAAAGGTGCAGTCGTGGTCGACTTGACAGACGAAAGCGAAGTCGCAGTAAGAGCCGCGAGCGTGGACGTGATCATGGCAGAGACCGAGATCGCGGTAGAGACCGAGATCGTAGTCGCCGCAGTCGCAGTCGAAGTCGCAGTTGTCGTAGCCGCTCCGACCGACGTTCTAGGCGACGCTAGCATACCGACTGAAGGAGTGCGTGGTTGGAAAAACGAAATCAATGATGGAGCTTGGCCTCGCGGTTATCGAGACAGAGAAGGCTTGAGCGAGGTATGTAGTGCATGTTGCCCACTGGTTGTTGCTGCTGTAATTGCGGTTGTGACGGTTCTTTCTAAGGTTGTCATCTTTCTAACAGCGACGTGTGAAGCTGTAGAAGCAGCGGTGAAACGGATGTTGCGTGACTGGTCGTGTACGCGTCAGTGCAGAAAGCCATGAGCTAGCTCGTACGAGCACGTGCAGAGAGGCTGGAGTTAGCTCTTTTTTTAGCATTGACACAGCAGCTGCCAAATGTTGTAAAACCAACGTGGAGAGTTAAGTCGGGCCATTACACCGGACGTTGACTATCTGCAAGCGATCCGTGATTTTGACACTCAGCAAGCTCGTGTGCATCGTTTCGACAGCCAGCATGTCGTCCTGCAAGTCGCGTCTCGCGCAGCTTGGCGGTGGTGGCAATTGATGACCTGATTTGAAAGCACCGTCTACGTGCTGAGTGCAGCTGGAAGACCGCCACGACTTGAAGCTGAGATGCTTGCTAGTGGTCGAGTACTTTGATCTGGAAGGCCACGTTGCGCTCGCCAGTTTTGTGGCAGTGTGGCCGCAATCTCAGTGAAATGCGTGACGTTGTCAAAATCTACAGCTGGAAAACTGATGAGCTTGGCTGTCGAATAGACGACGGTTTACGAAGTGGATGGGTAAGGCGATGGAGGCATGTGGTAACAGGAACCCGAGGCTGTTGAAGGTTGGAGGCTAGTGCTAGGCCGCAGCGAGCTGGAGCCCTGGCTCGACGCACTGGGGGTCGAGTGGCCATTGCTGCCGCAGCAGCTAATAGTGCCACTGCCTACGATGACTTTGTGGGAAATCGTCCTCTCACGTTTGGCTGTGGTACCACGTCCCGATTGCACTGAAAGTGGAGACTGCTCCATTGAGGCAAGTGAGTTATTACGTGCCGTCCGTCGTTGAGCTCCGGGATAAGCTCGAGCATACTGGTAGCTGACCGAGTGCGGTGTTGTCGGCATTTAGAGCATCTATTACGGCGGCTCTTGTGGCTCTGCTATAGTCGGCGTGTCCACCGCTCTCGTAAATGTGATTATGCTGAAGTTGGGAGACCGCGTTGCTCCAGCGAGACATGTGCGTCCATCCCAAAGTTTGCACATGCAGAGTAAGCTCGTGTACTTGCCACGTTATGGCCGAATACAGCGACGGTGGTATTGGCGAAGACTTGGGTCACGGGCGGGTTCGCTTCACGTTTAAGCCGCTAAAGTCACGTGTCATTTATTGATCCGTCGACTTTTGAGGCGAGTTTTCGGATACATGAAACGCAGATCCAATACTTCTAGCCTGTAGCGCCGATCACTACTGGTACTTACTTACCGATTGTCGTTGAAGAGCTCTGACGAGATAGTCTCCCTTGCCTTGACAACTCCAATGGGGAAGGCCATAGGCATAATTTATTGGCAGTCTTGAATGGGGGATACTGTCAAACTCTTGGTGCCGTCACTACAGGCAAGCTACCATGAATTTAAACAACGCATACGTGATGAAGGTGCAAACAGATCGATGGTAGATAGACACTCGACCATGTCTCGGGCACACGGTTTCCTGATTGCGTACTGCGTATCGACAGCCCCATTCTACCGAAGACGAAATCCAGTTTGGTCTTCTTCGCCATTGAGTTCTTGGCATTTGAAGGCGTCACCCACGACTAGAAGTAGCAATTTCGGTGCAAATGTGCATGAGCACGTTTAACAACCTCAACACTAGGATCTCAATCGATTGCGTACCATCGATAGCCCGTCTCACAACGTGGACTAACAACTTCTCACTTTCCATTGCTCAGTTTTCAGCAGAGGGTTGCGACCACTTGTACCAAGGTCTGACTGCTACCATTCCCGAATGACGAGGTGTGATGAAAGGACTTGTATCCCGCATCTGCATCCGAATTCGAGGTCTCGAAAGGTTGCGAGGGATCAGCTGAAAAATGCACATCCAACCAGCTGTTCGAAAGGCACTTTGTCCGTGCGTCTTCGTGGACAACAATATACCACCCCGTTACGGTGGTACCAGCGCGTTCTGACATCTGATGGTCGTGTCGTGACCAACCAGCCGCCTCAAGAACTTTGTTGATGCGATTTCTCGGCTTGTCGATGTGGAGACTATACAGTCGCAAAGTAGTAGTCGCGGCATCTGGAGAAACAGTGGCGGGTGCGAGATGCAGATTGCTAGAAGGCAGTGCGATGATGTTTACGTCGAGACCTCGTTCTTCCCTCTTCCGTCACGTCACGTCGCTGCGCAACTGGACGAAGACGATCCTAAGGCGAGCAGCCTAGCACGAACTCCCTCGTGGCTAGTCTTTTTTTTCACTCTTTCTTCAAGTGACGAACAGACGAAGGTACGAAGCGCACGAAAGACACGATGGAGACGGCGCAACGTGTGCATAGTCCACTCGTTTTGCTGCATGCTGTCCTTCAGTCAGAGCGGAAGGACCTGCTACCTTCCAACTGAGCCTTTTGCGCTACAAGCCGTCGCAAAAACGATTCCATGTGCCGTACATCGCGTGAACTATATGAACTCACTGATGATCTAGCGACTACAATCCACTCTCGACCAGGTAGGTGCCTGCCCACGAAAACATCATGTTGAGCTGGCAACAAGAGCTCCAACAATCGAGTTGTCCGCCCGTCTTTGGAAAACGGGAACCGCGAGCTCTTTACGTTCCTCTCACACTACTAGTATGTCTGTGCAAGCTCAACTGAAGGGATGCTACGAAGAGGCGAGGCTATCCATGCTGTACGCTCCGTGTCCTCTTCACGTGTGCTTCGGACACAGAAACTAGACGACGAGTGTGGAAAAGCCACTGCATATCGCGCAGTCAAGACGTTTCTGGACAGAACGTGGAGCGAAAGCATGTGCGATCTCCGTCGAATATTTCTTCCACCATGCAATCGCTTGGCCGATCGTTAGGTCGGGCTCAAATCCGGACCGGAGACTCACTATAACTATCACTACAATTGTACTAAACCTTGACAGGCACACACACACACACCTGTTCATAATAGGAAAAGCTCGCAATTGGCACGCTCCAACGTTTAGACGAACGCCGTTGTGCGAGAAAGCGTAATGAAGACGAAAGTTGCTCAGCTAGTGGCGTCTGTGGCCTGGTTTGTCTCACTGGCGCTTGCTGGCAATCCCAACTCGAACACGTCGAAAACATCAGGAGGACTGGACCCAAGAGACTCGTACCTGAAGGCATACCCAATGGGGGAATTCGAAAGCAATGACTTTGCCAAGAATGCCGATTCGACCGACGGGGGAGGCCCAACTCTCGGTGAATCGGTTGTTGCTGCTACCGAGACGGAGCTGTCAGAGCCAGCGGATTTTTCGGATGATATGGTGACAATGTCTCCTCAACTGAAGAAGAAGGTTGGCATCGACATGGGAGCGCTTGACAGGAAAGGCGGTCCCTTGGACTGGGTTCAAGAACCGGTTGAAGACTCGCAGGATTCCGCTTTATCTGAAAGCGATGGTTCTGAAACACCAAGGCCAACCCCCGCTGCTACATTCCCTACTGGAAAAGTGCACAGTTCTTCAGACGCTGGTGCTGCAACAGATGCTCCATCTCATGACGATTCCAAGGCCACGAAAGGCGGTCCCTTGGACTGGGTTCAAGAACCGGTTGAAGACTCGCAGGATTCCGCTTTATCTGAAAGCGATGGTTCTGAAACACCAAGGCCAACTCCCGCTGCTACATCGAGGAGTCCAGCTCACCAGTCAGATGACCATTCAAACAACCAGCAGCCAACTCAATCGCCTCAATGGGATCAACAGCCAAACAACCAGCAGCCGACTCAAGCGCCTCAATGGGATCAACAGCCAAACAACCAGCAGACACCTCCTGTTTCCAACAACGAGCACTCTCAAGGACCTCAGCCAGCGCAGTCTGACCAGAATTCGCACTGGCAGGGTGTATGGGGTACAAGCCCTTCCAGCGGCAGCCAGAACCATTGGGCGGGTGGATGGGGAGCTGCCACCCAGACCCCATCGAGCCCAACGCCGGCACCGACGAAGGCGTCTGACCCAAGTCGAAAGTTGAACCAGAGCCCTCCAGCTGAAACCGTTGTCCTTTCAAGTGCACCGCCCGTCTCAGCTCCGTCTCCTTTGATGTCGAAGTGCGCCGTACATCGCTCGAGATACTGAGGGATGTAGATGAGCTCGCCTAACGGTGAGACTTGTTGTGCTGAGAGCTCCTCGGAAAAGTGTACCCGCGATGCTGCTGAAAGTGATAAAAACTAACATGTTGTATGTACGTTGTTCACGGTAAGCACTCGCTGTACTATATAGCGAATCGACAAACCCTCTGACATCAACCCCGTCTCATGTTCTCAGGTCTCGGCAGCAAAATGACAAGTAGTCCAACAACTTATTCGCATTGGATGTACCTGTGACTGTAAAAGCTAGTTTACTCAGTAGCTGATCTACTGCCATAAGCGTACGGCAAAGGCGCACAAATTCGACTGTAATCAAAACTCGATACAGATGGGGTGTCAAAAGTCAGATGCTCTCATCGTTCCTCTGCCTACTACAGCGTGTTAAATGTAGCTAATAAGCAGAGCTTCTCGATTGCTTCGTTTTTGCATGGTTGGAGCACATTACCGAATCTAGTTGGTGACGCACAAAGGACTGGAACGTTGTAAACTAGCCAGGCCAAGACGTAGTTTTAGTCGCAACTGTACCCTCGGGGTTATAAAAAAACAGTGTGGGATGTTGGCAATGTCAACGAGTCCACAAATTACCGTCATGCGTTAATCGGTGTCTTTTTAATCACTAGTACAGGCTACCACCATTTTTGATTGCTCGACCCGCTGGAAACGCATGCTACGTGTTTTGTCTCTCGAACCTGGAATAGAAAGGAAGAAGAAAAACGATCGTTCGACGAGAAGTCTGGAGGCGGAGAAGGAGTTGGAGTTAGAGTTGATTGATAAGCTTTAACCGCTGCACGTTAGGGACTACATGACGATGTAGACACCTGAAGTTGTAACGGGGTGAATCGTTACATAACAATTTATAAGAAATGGTTTATAGAATATAACTATAACAGTTATATTCTCAGAATATTGTCGTAAGGACAAATATTCTGCAGCACTTACGAGTAGTTCCTAATTGGTTGATATAGGCCATTATATCAACCAACGAAGACGCGCCACGACAGACGCACGCAATGAGTGGTGAGCAGATAACTGATTTACACATTTGTATTTAGACATAGAGTTATATGAGGATAAACAGTGATTTATTGCAGACATTAACTATACTAAATACAGTTCTACTTTTTACTTTAACCAAGTACTCGCTTATTCTTACCGTCTTCCTCTGCACGTACCAGTGTACGTGAAGTTCCGAGGCACCGCCTTATTCTGTCATCAGAATAAGTAGCTTATACTGTCACCAGTACAAGCTTCAGGGTGCCCCGTTACACCTGGTAGCACTTCGTAGTCCGTCCAAGGACCACGTTCACATCTAACATGAATATGTTAGATGATGAAGATGACCAAAGCTTTCACGCTACGCGTGCCGGCTACTCCCATTTGAGCGATGTCGAATGGGATGCGGTTTAACGAATGGGTTCAACCATGGGTATCCATGCTGTCAGCGTCATGCTAGTGGCTCTCAATAGAGATGCCCAACATGCTACTATTGCCAAGTTCATTCAAAATGAACTTGACGCAGAACGCGAGAAAGTAGCCTTGCTTCACCAACAAGGTTCTCAACAATCAGAGTTGTTGAGAGAACAGGTGCTCAAAAGTTTGAACTGTTGAGACAGCAGCAGGCTGCTGCTGGTGGGTCGATGCACTCGCGTCGACCCGAAACCTTGAAGATTGACATCTCCAAGTATAGGGGAGTCGAAGAGGACCCCCTCTTGAGATGGTTCGTCGAATTAGACGACGCCATAAGGGCGCGGTCGCATCGACGATGGGGATATGCAAGTTGCATTTGCCCAGTCAAATCTGGCAGGACGTGCCAAGACTTGGGCACTGGGGCTCAAGTTGCACGACCCATATGCATTTGGGTCGTTGGAAGTCTTCAAGTCGCGGCTCAGACAAACGTTTGAACCGCCTAGAGCTGAGTTCAGAGCTCGAACCGAACTCTTGAAACTCAAACAGGGTAAGCGTGATGTACACGCTTACGCGCAACATATACGACATCTTACGAGTTGTATAAGTTCCAATCCGTTAGATGAACACACGTTGGTTTCGGTGTTCATGCAGGGTCTTGCGGATGGTCCCGTCAAGACTCACCTGTTCCTACTTGAACTAGATTCACTAGAACAAGCCATTTTCATTGCGGAGCAGGAAGACTTCAGTCTGAGACAGGCTCACGCCAGCCGGACATCATATCGTCAACCGAGACGATATGACAGCGGAGGTCCAGAGCCGATGGAACTCTGTTATGTAGAGAGCGAGAAGGCTCGCTCTACAGACTACAAGAAGTTGCAGAGATGCAACAGATGTCAAAAGATAGGACACTACGCTTACGAGTGTAGTGCCCCTCGTCCAGTGTCTCACAACACTGGGCGTAGTGACCGTCCACCCATGAGAAAGGGGCAGGGACGAGGGTCCGCTGTTGGTGCAAAGACGCAACAACGGGATGGACCGTCAAAAAACGGACAGGATCAGTAGGTGCGGAGCACCCTACTGGTCCAGCAACGTCAAGAGAATTTGTAGGCCTCTTGATGAAGGTTGCTCCCAACACAGAAACATTGTGCGTTGCTGATCTAGGTAATGAGATCTCACTCATTACCGTGAAACTCGAAGTGACGAATAAGTTGTCCCTTCAAGCTTTAGTCGATTGTGGGGCGTCCAACAATTTTGTGCGACGCCAATCGCTAGAAGATGGTCACTTTAAGTTTGGTGAATGTGACACACCTCCTACGAGGATGACGGTACGTCTTGCGACAGGCGCATCCGTAACCGTCATGAAGCGTGTAGTGAAGATCCACTATACGCTAGAAGATACCCAATATGATGATGATTTTATCGTATTGGATTTGGATGACAAATTTGATGTCATCCTTGGAATACCGTGGCTCAGAAGGTACGAACCACGAGTAACTAGCAACATCGAACAGTAACGATGCCTGCCGCTTGTTCATCAGATGACCATCTGATGAACGTTTTGGAGAGTACACAAGCAGGTGGGTGTACTACGAGTGAGTGCGATGGCCTCACTTGTGGTACGGTCGTTAGTACGACTGCACAAAACCTTAGTGTACCAAACGGTTACACTTCGGAGCAAAGTTCCGGCGGCGGCTGTGAGGAAACACAGGCTTCGCCGAAGGTCCACCACTCGAATAAGTCGGGTGGACTGGGACAAAGATGTATCCCAGCGGGGAACATCTAGAAAAGAAACAATCGATCGCTCAGGTTAAGCGGAACGATAATCCTAGATCGACTGGATAGTCTTTCGTAGAGGATCTCGCTGTGGTTGCGCAACCCCAGCTAGAGGAAGTAAAGGGAATGAGTCCCGATATTTAAAATAGGCGGAAATAAGTTCCCCGAAACCCGAGGGGATAAGTCCCCGGGAAGCCGAAGGAATAAGTCCTTCGAAGCCTGAGGGAATAAGTCCCCAGGAAATGACAGAGACATTGAATGTCATAGTCAATAACGGATCAAGTGTAGGCGCTTATACACTTGATCTGATTGCGCCTCCGAAGTTGACTTCGGAGATCACTCAGTTGCCAACGCTCGAACATAAAAGGTTCTTGCGTGATCTGCGTAGTGGCAAAGTCAAGCAGATCTGCGTACTCGTCGCTGACGACGAGTGTGTAACCGACATAAGGTCAGCAACAGTGTTTACTGAGAACGAGAGAGTTCTCAGTAGTTCATCTATGGACGAGAGTGTCCTAGATGAAAAGACACGAATTGAGCGATATGACTCCCAATCGTGGGAATCGCTCAAGACAAATTCTCTCTATGAAGATTTAGTTGAATTCAAGGATGTATTCCCTGAAACTGTTCCGTGCGAATTACCGAAGGATAAAGGTATTCGACACGAGGTCGAGCTTAAACCAGGCTCGAAGTACTGTGTCATGAAGCAGTGGCCACTGCCTCGTGAACAAGTACTTGCGATCGACAAGTTCTTTGCCGATCGTTTAGCTGCGGGCCATGTGAGGGAATCAACTTCCCCACATAGCTCTCCGAACTTCTGTGTGCGAAAAGCAACAGGAGGGTGGCGGATAGTGCACGCGTTCAACAAATTGAACGCTGCAACGGTACCGGCTCAGACGCCGATACCGAGGAAGGACGTAATCATTGATGGTATGTCAAAGAGTACCATCTTTTCGTCCATGGATTTGATGGATGGCTTCTATCAAATCCTTATGCGAGAACGAGATATACCCTATACCGCAGTTAGCACGCCCAGCGGCATGCTCTGGGAATGGATAGTAATGCCACAAGGGCTTATTAATGCCCCTGCCACGTTCAACAGGTGTGTATCACATCTGTTGAGACCAGTACGAGAATTCGCGCCGAGTTATTTCGATGACGTATTCATCCATAGTCGAGCTATGGATGGAAAGTCGAACGTTGAGGTTCACAGGTACCACGTCCGACAGGTTCTTACAATCATGCGAAAGCATCAATTGTATGCAAACCTCAAGAAGTGTATATTTGCAGTAAGCGAAATACCACTTCTTGGGTGCATCGTTGGTAAGAACGGTGTACGTCCTGATCCCGAAAAGATCAAGGCGATCACCGACTGGCCTGTGCCGGTTGATGTCAAAGGTCTTCGAAAATTCCTTGGGCTAGCGGCGTATTTGCATAAGTATTCACGCAATTACGCCGAGATGACTGTGCACCTCTCTCGTTTGTTGAAAAAGAACGAGAGGTGGTTATGGAACGCTGAATGTCAGCGCTCCTTTGATGGTATCAAGCAGAGCTTGATACAATCCCCAGTCCTAGCAATAGCCGATCAAGACAGGCCATTTCATGTGGTCTGTGATGCCAGCGATTTCGCAATCAGCTGTGCATTAATGCAGTACGATCTTGAAGGCGTTGAACGCGTCGTCTGCTATCAGTCGCGTCAGCTGCAACCAGCTGAGCGGAACTATCCAGTGCATGACAAGGAACTCCTTGCCATGAAGTATGCACTCGCGAAGTTCAGAGTCTATCTATTAGGAGATAGGCCCTTCATTGTTTACACTGACCATGCGTCGTTACGCACGGCAGTGAACAGCCCGCAACTTTCACAACGAATGGCGCGGTGGTTGTCATTCTTTGCGGAATACAACTTTACGGTCGAGTACAAACCAGGACGACTTAATGTCGTCGCTGATGCACTCTCACGTCGTCCCGACTTTGAAACAGTCGCGAAACCCAACAGTGAGACAGTCACTGTTGCGGTTATGACGTCCTCAGTCCCATCTACAACGTTGCATGATGATGTGAGGCGGGCATACGCCCAAGATGGTGAGATTGTGAAGTTGTTGACACATCTCTCCCAACCATCTCGAGAATCGTTGAAATGATTATCGTCTGCGTATCGATCTGCATCAGATCGATACACTACTCGCAACGGTTTACTGTATTATACAGCCGTTACTGGTGACACACCACGTGTTGTCATTCCAGATGATACTGATCTGCGTTTGCGGATCATGTTCGAGTATCACGATGCTCCTATAGGAGGACATCGTGGCCGAGAGAAAACTTATCTCACGGTGAGTCGAGACTTTTACTGACCCCGCCAGTATCAGTTTGTGCGAAAGTATGTTCGCGCATGCGAAGTCTGCCAACGAGTGAAGTCAAGCCCTTCACTGCGTGCACCTTTACAGCCTCTACCGGTTCCGGTTGAGTGCTGGGAATCCATCTCAATGGATTTTGTCTTCGGGTTACCCAAAGACGCACGCGGGAATACGGGTATTCTCGTATTTGTTGACAGATTCAGCAAAATGGTACACCTTGTGACTGTACCAGAGACAATCACGGCAAGTGGCTGTGCTTGTGTCTTTATTGACCCCATCTTCCGACTTCATGGGTTGCCCCGTGAACTCGTATCATACAGAGATCCACGATTCACTGCTGATTTCTGGCGTTCCGTGTTCAAATCACTCGGAACGCGCTTGAAGATGTCGACATCTGATCATCCCGAGTCAGATGGTCAGACGGAACGTGCTAATCGTGTCCTTGAAGAGATACTTCGAGGATACGTACACTCCTAAAAGAGTTGGAGTGAGTTTTTGCCAATGGTAGAGTTTGCCATTAACAACTCGGTGCATGCGTCCACGACACATACCCCGTTTTACGTGAATGGCTTGCGCCATCCGCGTGTACCCACCTTACTAGAGTGTAACTCTGGTTTAAGGGGGGGGACTCGCGCGAGCAAAAACCGATTTGGTTCACGCTCATCACGCTCTGACGAAGAGGTCATTGCGTTTGATGCCGATATCGATAACATCGATATCGAAGAAGATGATGCCAGTGAGAGTGCGGAAGCCCTCACTGAAGAAAAGGTTGATGTTGCTGCAGTGCGCTCACAGCGCACTGAAGCTAACGAGTCATCAGATGAGTTCATACTGGCTCGTGAAACGGTAGTCCGTTTTGTGCAAGACTCCATCGCCGAAGCGGTGGATAAGCAAAAGCAAAACGCTGACAAGAATGGAAGGGCAAACACTCTTTTATTTAATAAAGGTGACTTAGTTCTACTGTCTACGGTTAATCTATTAAAGCATGTAGTGACTAACTTGAGTAGCAGTAAACTACTACCCAAGTACATCGGCCCATTTCGTGTATTGCACCGCCTAGGCAATGCATACACGATCGAGTTGCCACGTAAGATGCGAACGCATCCCACGTTTTACGTTGGTCGGATTAAGCCGTACCATCAGTACGCTGCTTCTTCCGATGAAGAACGCCCTTGCGCTCAAGCATCTTGCAGAGAGCCTTGTGCTCCCGATGGTGGGCATCAACAAGGGTCTGAAGAGCAGCTATCTCATCCCGAGACCGATCAACAATCCCACGAGCTACCCTTAGCTCGTCACGAAGAGATGTCAGAGATCTCTCGTTCTCAAGCTGAGCAAAGGCAAACTCAGCTCGATGCTTCGAGGCAGTGTCCGCCATTTGGAGACGCCTATTCCGCTCTGTTCGAGATCGCCGCGTAACCCTTGCGTTACGCGATTAAAGAATCTCTCGGGAACACACGGATCCCCACGATCGTGTGGAGAGCGTCTTTCCTCCTCCTCCACCTCCATTAGAGGACTCTCGCGGTGGCCAGCGCTATCTAGTTGAGCAGCTGTTGAGCCACCGCGACGTGAACGGAGGTCGGACGAGTTATCTCGTCCGGTGGCGCGGCTATCCCCCGTCCTGGGATACTTGGGAGCCCCGCTCCCAACTGATGGTTGACGTTCTGGGTCTGGTTGAGCAGTACGACGCGGCACATCCTGTGCCGCAGAAGGACCGCCGGAGAAAGTCTTCCCGGCACGGTCGTAAAGGGATTTCAGTTTGTCAATCCCTTCGTACATCTCAGTAGAGATACGTACGCGCCACCACGGGCTGGTAAGGAGGTAAGCCTCCTTAGGTGCTCGTGCAGAGTTGTTCACACAACATGGACACGAGTCTCCCCATGAGAGGCAGGGTAATCCTTTCTCCCTTGACAGACGATGCAGCTTGTAGCGTGCACCTGTCGGGGTTCGCTTTTCAAACTTATCACGAGCTTTGATAAGCTTGTCGTTCCAAGCGTCACGACCTACATCCTCAAGGTTATGGATGTAGGCGTTCCACGCTTGAAGTAGTGAGGGACCATCACGCTTGTGATTCCCACTGTACCATCGATGTCTAAAGAAAGCATCGATGAAGAAATCATACTCAGCGCGATAGTTTTTCGCGCTGGGGTCAAGGTGATGGATCCTTGACGAATCGAACAATCGTGTTCGATAACAATCACTCGTCGTCGCCGACAAGTGATCCATGACGGATTTGGGAGGCATCCATGCCTTCTTCTCAGGAGCGAGACGCAACACATTGCGGTCCCGCTCTTCCTGCGACGTGCCGACAGAAGTACTGGCACCTCGCTGTGAAGTGGTGTCCATAGGAGAACCGACACCACTGTCAGCGCCCGAGTCTCGCGACCTCGAGCGCCTTCGCTTCGGCGATGGTTCATCTGATGAATCAGATGAACCAAAGATGCTGCGACGCAAAGCATCGTCCATGCCACGCTTGGCAGGCGGCTTGGATTCGATCGCCGTCGATACGGATCCGTCTTCCGTATCAGGAGAGTATGAGACACCGAGCTCATACTCTGTGAAGACATGAGTGTCTTCATGACCAGCGCCTGCATCACCAAGTGACACAGGCTGAGTCGCTTCAGAAACCGATGAGACATCAGTTGCTGTGGTTTCTGCTTCGGCGTCTACACAGAGACGTGCAGACGCGCTCTCAGAGGCCTTGTTCGCGCACCGCATGGACTTGTTTACCATGCGATGAAACTGATGGACTGTAAACTCGGACCAACAAGTGCAAACCCTGTCCGAAATGATTTGGGACGAGTATCCATTTAGTCAATCAGTCACTAAAGTGACTGATGGTTAAGGGGGGGGGTGATGTAACGGGGTGAATCGTTACATAACAATTTATAAGAAATGGTTTATAGAATATAACTATAACAGTTATATTCTCAGAATATTGTCATAAGGACAAATATTCTGTAGCACTTACGAGTAGTTCCTAATTGGTTGATATAGGCCATTATATCAACCAACAAAGACGCGCCACGACAGACGCACGCAATGAGTGGTGAGCAGATAATTGATTTACACATTTGTATTTAGACATAGAGTTATATGAGGATAAACAGTGATTTATTGCAGACATTAACTATACTAAATACAGTTCTACTTTTTACTTAAACCAAGTACTCGCTTCTTCTTACCGTCTTCCTCTGCACGTACGAGTGTACGTGAAGTTACGAGGCACCGCCTTATTCTGTCATCAGAATAAGTAGCTTGTACTGTCACCAGTACAAGCTTCAGGGTGCCCTGTTACATCCACCGATCTTTACTTGGTGTGGACACACAACAAAACTGGTTCAGTAACCGCCGTGTAATCCCGTTGCACCATCGTATCATGGACTTCAGAGCAGATGACCTAATCGTCGAAATACAAAATGACTGAACAATATCTATCAATCCATAAGCACGAACGTGCGTCTTTAACGATTACATCCTTGCACTGTCGGCCGCTTGGTGCACATAGCTCACTTTGCCGCTGTACATATCGCAGCGTAAGAATGGGAAATCAAACGCCAATGTAGGCTCGCCACGGCATAATCATTCGTGCCGAGAAGACATTCAGATGTCTTCTGATCGGTAGCGTTGACCACAATGCAGTTCATACACAAGACGATACGTTATTCGTCGTTACATGCGTCGTCATGCACACAGAGCCTTGTCTGAAATTGTTTACACGAACGCGAGTACGTCGCGTGGACACGCGAGCGGCAAAACTTTACAATGATTGAAGCTTTTGTGTGGTCATGAGCCAAATTCGTTGGTGGCGATGCATGATACACGCACGTGGGTGAGCAAATTAACACCGTTTGCAATTTGCAATTGCAACCGTACGAAGCTCCATAATGCACTAGGAGTAAAACACGAATCAGAAAAAGCGAGTGATAAACGCTACTGTCCACCGTATGCTCGAATCTGGATAGCCTCTACCTTTCCGTTCCGTCGGCTTCAAGTCTCTTGATACGCACCACAGGTAGCAGCTCCTGTTTTGCTGTCAGAGCAGAGGTGTCGGCAGAATGTGGCGCCGTTCCGTACTGCACGTAGAAAGCAGGTAAGCCTGCAGCTTGCTGCCCGACTTCTACAGCATGTCGTCATGTTACAAGCCACGATATGCACGAACACATGCGGCTGATGGGAAAGCATGAGCGCGAAAAATACTGATCCATCGACATAAGTAATGCATGCGTGCTATTTCAAAAAGTGTGGTTGTGGACCTCTGGTACCAGAGCTTTTAACGTGTAAGTTCCGGAGCGACGGAAACCACGTGTCAGAAATCACAACCATACAGCGGAGTCCGCATGTGGCGATGCACTTTATCGTAGAGAAGATGGGGTTGGCTCTTCGTAAAGGTCCGGCTACCATCTATGCGTACAAACAAACGAGCTCACGATTCTTAATACCAATCCGAATGCTGAGGCGGGAGCTCTGACACCATTCATGCTTCCTTCAGTCATTGTCCACCTTTTGCTCGACATGAAATAAGGTACCAACACGGCGTCAGTGCCTACGTTCGTGGTTGATGGTTGGATGGCATCCCATCTTAATCGCACCGCAAAGCTGCGGCTGCAGTGGCTGTGCGTAAACGAACGCCACGAGTATGGCTGCTGCAAAGGCTCGCACGACAACCACACGTTTGCCGCCTATCGCAAGTGGCGCCTATCTTGACGCATGCACTTCGATCAGCTGACACCCTATAGAAGTGGAAATTCGTGGTGAGTCGTGTCGATCAGCGTCTTTGCGCGAGCGTTCGTACCGACAGAGATATTTGATCCCCACGTGCTGGAAGTTGCGGTACATTTTTGCTGATGATTTGAATTACAACCCTCTATCTGCTGTCGAAGACACTGGATCTTCCTCCTCATACACTCAACGCCAGCCTCTTTGCAACTCTGTTGATCATTACATCAACGAAAGAAGTCGAATAGCGTAGTTTGAGCATCTGTAATACGATATTGCCATGGACAGAATGGAGTAGGACTGCATGCATTGTCCCTAACTACACACGTGCATTCCTACAGTCCGCATGAATAACTGATCAAAAACAGTGCAAGCTCTCGCACTCCCTTTGTACCAGTTGCGTCGCCTTCACACAAAACGACATCGTCCAGTTGCGTAGAAGTTGATGCAATCGACCACATGTATTTGAAATCGACCACATGTTACCAAACCTGTCACCGCGTCGAGAATTGCGTTGGACCTTGAGGGTTATACTTCTTTGGAGATTGGTCGCCATTCCGACATGCTATCTCAAGCGGATGTGTACTTCGGCCAGCTGTGAGTTCGTCTATCCAGTCCTCAGCGTCACGTCGCTCGAATATTCTCCTGGTCCCTGTCCGACAGACCCGAATCGACACCTGCTACGCGTCTTTTCAACTAACTGGTTATTAAATAACATGAGATAATGAAGCGGAAGACAACTGTTTTTCCAGCAAAAGCGAGCGGTTCGCAACTTTGACCTGCCCACTCCGGGTCAGCTGAAAAGACGTAGGAGATACTTACATACCTTCTTACAGATACAACCATTCAATTGCACGTCCTCGTTGCCCCCTTGTTCGAGTTTCTTACTATTGACACTCTAAGCTTCATCTGTCGTTTCGTCACGGCGTTGCGCCATCCACGCTGCTTGTTGAGGTTGTTCACGGTCTTGTTGAACACAACACTCCGACCAGCAAAATCTACAATTACATACAAACTGACTCACTTCACCAGCACGTGGTGTAACCGAACGAAGGTGCCTGCGGATTGTGATAACGAGGGGCGATGGACGGCAGCGCGAAGAAGGCTCTACTATACCAGACCGGGCACCGACATATCGCACGGTGCTCTCGATCATGCGATAGGACAAACGCCGTCCGCCACTAGGGCATTCAAGAAGCTCATAAAGCAACTCGGCTCGCAAGAAGCAAGTGTCTCCAGCGCACTACAAGGCATCAACGACGGCAACATGGTCACGGTTCGTGCAGCTATGCTCGCTTCCGTCGTGTTGCTAGTCGGTGCCACCCTCAGCGGGACATCAGCTGAAGATTCGTGGAACGAAATGGTCCAGGACGATACTGGCGCGAAGGACCAAACGCCTTCGGAGACTCCAAGCTGGGAGGCCGACGAAAATGGCGGCGACGACAAGAACGGCGGGGACGACAAGAATGGCGGCGACGACAAGAATGGCGGCGACGATAAAAATGGCGGGGATGACAAGAATGGCGGAGATGACAAAAATGGCGGAGATGACAAGAATGGCGGAGACGACAAGAATGGCGGAGATGACAAGAATGGCGGAGACGACAAGAATGGCGGAGACGACAAGAATGGCGGAGACGACAAGAATGGCGGAGATGACAAGAATGGCGGGGATGACAAGAATGGCGGCAAGCAAGGTTTGAGTGTCTTTGAAGTCACGATGCCATCCACCGGTAGCGGAGGAAGTACGTCATCCGTTAGCGGCGGAGGAGGAAGCAGCAAATCTTCGAGCGGCGCGGGCAAACTGCCCGATGGCACTTGGCCTACAAGTACCGGCTCCGTCAAGTTCTCGGAACCGCATGTGATCAAGGCTGGCGAGGTCTTTGATGGCAAGATGCAGACGTTCGATCGGTCCGACGTCAAGTGCACCGATGGTGAAGGTCAGGCCAAAGGGGCCGTGTTCCTCTTGGAGGCTGGTGCGACCCTCAGGAACGCCATCATTGGCCCGGACCAGAAGGAGGGCGTGCATTGTGATAAGCACGATTGCACCATTGAGAACGTCTGGTGGGACGACGTGTGTGAAGACGCGCTGAGTATCAAGGGCGGTACGTCCTCTAGCATAAGCACCGTGACAAACAGCGGGGCACGGTCTGCCAATGACAAGGTGGTGCAGCACAACGGTCCCGGTACAGTCACCATCGACGGTTTCTACGCAGAAGATTTCGGCAAACTCTACCGTTCGTGTGGCACTTGCGGTGACGTTCCTCGCATTGTGAATTTGAAGAACGTCTTGGCCGTGGACCCGCACGTGAGTGTCATCACAGTGAACAAGAACTACGGCGACAAGGCGACGTTGAGCAACATCTGGGTCACGTCGAAGAAGAAAAAGGTCAAGGTGTGCGCCTGGTCACAGGGAAGCAAAGACCCGACAAATCTTGGCGACGGACCGTCTCCGCCATTGTGTGACTACTCGGAAAGTGACGTGCACATCAACGAAGGGACACCGTCAGGGGGGAGCTCGAAACCAAGCGAGTCTTCGAAAGTGCCTTCCCAAGACGGCGGCGATGACAAAAACGGAGGTGATGACAGAAACGGAGGCGACGATGTCGTTGACCAGAACGATGGCGGTGACAAAAATGATGGCGGTGACAAAAACGGAGGTGGTGACAAAAACGGAGGTGATGACAAAAACGGAGGCGACGATGTCGTTGACCAGAACGATGACGGTGACAAAAACGGAGGCGATGACAAAAACGGAGGTGATGACAAAAACGGCGGCGATGACAAAAACGGCGGCGATGACAAAAATGGGGGCAATGACAAAAATGGGGGCAATGACAAGAATGGAGGTGGTGACAAGAATGGAGGTGATGACAAAAACGGTGGTGAAGACAAGAATGGAGGTGATGACAAAAACGGAGGTGATGACAAGAATGGAGGTGGTGACAAAAACGGAGGCGATGACAAAAACGGAGGTGGAGCTGAATACGGTGGTGGTGAAGTCGGCGGCGACGATGGCGCCGAAGTTGTTGACCAAAACGATGACCAGAACGAAGGTGGTGACAAAAACGGTGGTGGCGGTGGCAAAAGCGGCGTCGAAATCAAGAAAAGCTCGAGTGGTGGAGGCGGTAGCTCGCCCTCTTCCGGTGGAGGCAAAGTCCCTGATGGCACGTGGCCCACGAGCACTGGAACAGTTCAGCTCAAGGAAGCTCAAGTCATTAAAGCCGGCGAGGATTTCGACGGGAAGATGCAGACGTTCGAGCGCTCGGATGTCACGTGCGCCGGGCAGAAAGAGAGTGGGTCGGACACTGCCGTGTTCCTCGTCGAAGCTGGGGGCACGCTCCGCAACGCCATCATCGGCAAGAACCAAATGGAAGGCGTGCACTGCGATGATCATGACTGCGTGATTGACAACGTCTGGTGGGACGATGTCTGCGAGGATGCGCTCAGCATCAAAGGGGGTACGGCATCCAGCGTGTCAAGTGTCATCGGGGGTGGCGCTCGCCAGGCAGACGACAAGGTCATTCAGCACAACGGCCTTGGCACCGTCAAGATTGATGGGTTCTACGGTGAGGACATTGGCAAGCTCTACCGCTCGTGTGGCACGTGTGCTGACAAGGCCCGAAAGGTGGAGGTCTCGAACGTGTACATTGTGAACGCTAACAATGCGGTTGTGACGGTGAACAAGAACTGGGGCGACGAGGCCACGCTGAGCAACATTTGGGTCAAGTCCACCAAGGACAAGGTGAAGATTTGCCAGTGGTCGCAGGGCAGTAGTAGCGGCGAGCCATCGACGCTGGGTGATGGACCGTCGCCACCGCTCTGTCAGTACTCGGAGAGCGATGTGCACATTAACGAAGACGTCTCGAAGGCAACTGGCGGTACTTCGAAGCCCAGTAAAGGCTCATCAGCTCCGGATGTGTCCTCGGGTAGTGAAAATGCTGAGCAAGGGCCTGCTGTCGTGGTCCCCGCTGGTGGTGAGGGCGACGATAGCAAGAGCAAGGGAGGAGAGGATGAGGGTGAAGAGAAGGGTGGGGACAAGGAGGGTGGGGAAAAGGAAGACAAGAAGGACGAGGACAAGGAAGACAAGAAGGATGACGACAAGAAGGACAAGAAGGATGATGACAAGAAGGAGAAGAAGGACGGCGACAAGAAGGACAAGAAGGAGGACGACAAGGAGGACGAGGAGGAAAAGAAGGATGAAGGACCTGAAGAATTGTTTTCCCCCGTTGAAGACAGCGTTACGCAAGAGGAAGTTGCAGGGGAAGCTAAAGCTTGGAATAGCACGGCCGGCGGCTTTTCGCTCGAGGATGAGTCGGAATCTTCCACGAAGATTTCTCCGCCACCATCCGCGTCAAAGTGCAACGTCCGTCGCAAGAGGAACTAGAGTGAGTGTGGAGAAACGGAGGTGTTGGCCTCAAGTCGTTGGTAGCTTGGTGGTAGGTTCTTCACCCCCTCCCTCCCAACTGTGTGTGTGTGTGTATGTGATCTATGTAAGTCCTCGAACAAAGGAATGTTTGTGTGTTTTAACTCTTCGGTCTTGAGGAATAAACCAGTAAGACAGACATTGCGTCCTTAACAAAAGCATGAGTGTGGTGATCCGTGTGCAACCTCAGTCTTTTTGGTATGAACCTGCTTTAACAAAAGAATACAGTGACTGTCTTGCAAACCCTTTCCAGCTGTGACACGCGACGTCACGTTATTTCTTACTCCAGTCCCTCCTCCTTCCAAAAAACCGAAAAAAAAAGTGAGTGAAGTAACAAAAACCGAATCGAGAAGGTCCAAAGGACGACAAAAGAGCGACAACCACCGACAAAGGAAGGCCATCGAGGGAGAGAGTGAGTGAGCGCACGACTAAAAAACCTCGAGTCCGTCATAGCTGCCACAATCATCGCAACCGCGTCACGCGTCGCTAAAACAACGGCTCAGCTGTCCTTTCTTTCTTTAATTCTTTCTTCCGCAACTTACCCAGAAACGAGCCGCGCTGGACTCGCTTTGTTTCTTCCTTTCATCATCACATGTAGCAAAAACAACAGCGCTCCACCTGCTTCCAGAACCGAATCATCAGCCGCAGTCCCATACCATCCCCGCTACCATAAAGAACCACCCAGAGAGAGCTTGTCTGCCTCTGTGCAACTGCACGATTCCAGTCAGTAGTCAGCAGATCCATCGACCGCCCACGTCCTCCTTCCATACAAACACCATACACTTACACTCCGCCACGGGGTCCACTACCCACAACCAACTCACCATCACCACCACCACCACCACCACCACTAAACAGCACTAACTCCAAGCCCCAATCCGGGATTCTCATCCGCTCACTCTTCAAAATGCCGGCCACCCCACCCACCCGCGAGGTCTTCTCCCCACCCGCGTCCCCCGCTCCCATCCCGTCATGCAAACCCCCGCTCTCCCTCCCCCCTCCCTCCTCGTCTCTTCCTCTCCTCACCGGATACCTCCGCAAACGCTACTCCACCAGCGTCTACATGGGTTCCTGGCGCTTCTGCGTCCTCCAAGGCGCGCGTCTGCGCTGGTACCGCAGTCAACAAACCGCCGAGACGGACTCGCAGCTGCGGGGCGAAGTCTGGGTCCAGAGTCTCGAGCCCTGGGACGGCCGCAGCGCCTTCGCCCGCACGGCCGCCCACGCCTTTGCCATCCGCACAACGTCCAAGCGGCTGCTGCTCTGTGCGGCGCAGACGCCTCTGGACGCTGCGCGCTGGCGCCACGCGCTCGAGACGGCGCTCACCCAGGCCAAGAGCTCGGTAAGGGACCTCCAGTCACGTGTCCCGGACGACGGCGGGCGTCGGATCGTGCCGTCGGAGCGGCGGCGGCGGCCGTCGACGCCACGCGATGCGTTCCCAATCGACCGTCCGACGGACGCGCCGTCGTCGGTCACGAGCGGTTCGGACCACGACCGCGTCCAGAAGACAGTGGGGACAGCTTTAAGAGGAGATTCCGGGTGCAACGAGTGTGGGACGCGGTTCCGGTCGCTCGTGGCCAGGCGCGTCGTCTGCGGCTCGTGCGCCCGCGCGTTCTGTGGGAAACACTGCAGTGGCGGCGTCCGGTTGGAGCACTTGGGACTCCGAGCGGTGCGACGCTGTTGCGACCACTGTGTCCAGCGGCAGGAGTTTATCCGGTACTTGAAGATCATGACGCGGGTCTTGGGCCCGTTGGCGGGTAAAGGGGCTTCGATGGACGCTCTGATGGCAGCAACTCGGACTGAGGAGGACGTGAGGGGCTTGATGACGATGGAGAAGTTGCGGCGTCAACCCATGACGCTGAACCGCACGATCAAGATTTTGTACCAGACGCGGAAGAAGCCGCAGCTGTTTCGAGTTGCTTGTGAACGGCTGCCGTTTTATACTGAGACGTGTGTCGATCGGGTGGAGAATCTGTGGTACCAGTTGCTGCATCTCGTGCAGTGTCTGGATGCAGAACCCAAGCCACGCTGTGCCCTTCAGCTCTTTTATCTGCAGCGCTATATCCGGGCTATCTGTCGTCGGTGTCCACGGATTGCACTGCAGACGATTTGGCATGTCCAGGCGTCGGCTGCGGACGGGAGATGCCACAATTTACACCCCCACACGTTGTTGTCGCTGCTAGGGTTTATCTACCCGAACACGACGTTGCCCGAGAGCTCGCATATGTTGAGTGTGTGGAAGGATCTTGTCTTTGCTGATTGCCCGGAACACCAGCTCGCGCAGATCTTGGCTGACTTGCGTCAGGTCAATGCTGATATGGAGAAACTCATCTCACTTGAGCCAGAGTCGATGATGGAGCGATGGCTGAATGCCAAAACGCGGCTACAGTTTGAACAGTGTGCGGCAGAGTTGGCAGCTTCAGGGATTGAAGTGTGTGAATTCCAGTCGAGCATTCTGTACGATTCATTGGAGATTGAAGGGAGCGATCAATCGGATGATTTACCGGGATCTGGGATCAACTCGCTGGTTCTGGAACAAGTGAGTTTTGTGCAGTCGATGGCGGCCATTAGCGAACGGCTGCGTCACATTCAACCTGTATCAGACCGTGGCAAGTACTTGGCTGGCGAGTTGAAGACACTCAATAGCACACTCCAATCATCGGCGCTGTACCCTCTCAGTGCGGCATCCGACGAGCTGTACCAGGTTGTGCGCATCCCGCCGGCAGAAGGCAAAGTGTTTTCTACCAAAATGCGCGCACCCACTCTCATCTTTGTCGAGACGGTTCCAGTGCAAAGGGCTGACGCGTTTGGTCTCGATGCCTATGATGCCGATCGTCTCCGTCCATTCGTATTCAGCTCTCAGCCTTGCAACTCCACTTTTTTTGAGTCTGTAGTTTTTGATGAAATTGAAGCCTCAGGTGTGTCGTTAAGTGGAGATACCATGATGTCCCCGTGCACCAGCTCGAGACTAGCGACACATACGCCGACGAGCACATTGACTGGGTATGTGAGCTGTCCCGGTGATATGGTTCCACAGCAGGCATGCAGTCATTCGGCTAACGTCTCCAAGAGGGTAACTGATAAACAAGCCAGTGGTCCTGGCTGTAATGGAGGTCCGCAAATGCATCAACCTAAGAACGGACGAGAAGCATCTGCTTTTGTGAATGGCAAGCGCCGCACGGGTCGTGGTAGTAAAATGGGTGGTGGGGCACGTACTGGACATTCGGGCGTCGAAAACTTTGTATATGACAGTAAAGTGTTTGGTGAGAGTTGGGAGGAACGCAAGGCGCGTATCCAAAAGGAGTCGCCAATGGGCAAATTGCCTGGGTGGAACCTTTTTTCTGTGATCATCAAGACAAACGATGATTTGCGTCAGGAGGTGTTTACAATGCAGCTTATCCACAAACTTAAGTCAATCTTTGAGTTTGAGGCTCCACACTTATGGCTACGCACCTACAGAATTGTTGCCACCGGAGCCAACATTGGTTTACTGGAGACGATAACCGATGCTTGCTCGCTGGACCATCTCAAGAAGACGTTTCCCGGTGGCAATTTGTTTGAGTACTTCCGCAGTGTGTACGGTGACGTGTCCGGTCCAGAGTTTATTGCTGCACAGCGCCGCTTTATCGAAAGCTTGGCAGCGTACTCTATTGTCAGCTACGTGCTGCTGCTCAAAGACCGTCACAACGGCAACATCTTGCTCAGCTCTGAAGACCGTATCATTCATATCGACTTTGGCTTCATTCTAGGCATCGCTCCTGGTGGCATGTTCAGTGTTGAAGATGCTCCGTTCAAGTTGACGAAGGAGATGATGGACGTGATGGGAGGCGTCGGTTCCTCTGGCTATGCACGCTTTCGCGGTTGTCTGGTCGAGGGTTTCGTGGCTCTGCAAAAGTATCATTCCGAGATTACCGCGCTATTGCAGACCACGGGACAGCACTCTCCGTTCCCTTGCTTTAATGGTGCAAAGCTAGGGCGCGTTGTCGCTGACCTGCGTACACGTTTATGCGTTGGATGTTCGCGACAGGAAATTCGTCACCGCGTGGACTATTTGCTGCGCAAGAGCTACAATGCCTGGGGAACTCGACAGTATGATTCGTTCCAGTTGCGTAGCAACAATATTTACCCCTAGGACTAGCCAACCGATCAATTTATATGAGTTTCTGAACGTTTTTTGCGTGGCTGAGAGCACCGGTAAAATGCTGCTACTTTGTGATAAATTGCCAGTCTTGACTTGTCTATTAACGATGGGGAACCGTTCATCTCCCCTCAGTTTCCGGTAAAATTCCCTCAGTTCGATATAGCTCTACGTGACTGGCTAATTTATAAACATGCGTTGAGGTATTAAGTCACAATAACTGTTTTTTTACATCTATTTGACCTGATTTAGTGTTGCTCTCAATCGTTCCTTATGTGATCTTATGCGCAAGATTCTGTCAAGCTTTGCCTGAAACATTTGTGAACTCGAAGCTTTCAAGTCCGCAGATGCTCTCAATCGCTCATTATATTATCAAGGTCGATGCCTCTACAACAGCAAGCAATCCACTTCACGCTTGCACATAAAGGTTTTTCACGCCAGTGAGTGGTACGACTACTTCTTGCTTATCATTCATTTGAAGCCTATTCGGATCGTTCGTGTCGCATGCACACGACGCGTGTCGTGATTATTTTTGTCCTGTTCGTTACTGTGTAGATTCCTATTTTTCTGTGCTGTTTCGGATCTGTTGATGTGCAATGTAGGTCCGTATAAAAGCACCCAGGAGGACAAAAAGACTGTCGTGCACAGGGAGCTTTTGACAAGCGCGCATGCGTAGCTAAAACGGATGCCCCTGTCATTAGGAAGATATGAGGCACTGCAACAATCGAGATACTGTTTTACGATAATCTAGTTGCTGTGCTGCCGATGAAGCCGAGGAAACTGCATGCTCGTGTAAGTAAGGGTCTGTTTCAGTCATGTACGAGTGATAGTGCCTACAAAGTCAATGGACTCGTACTGAGGAATGCAGTCAACGTTATTTTGATCGATAATTGGTTCCGTCAAGTTCTGCAGGTGTTGGTTCGATTATAGTTCCACATTGTTGTGCGTTGTGACTCACCCTCATGCAACGACCGCATCATCTTCACAGATTCTAACGAAGCTACTGCATCAGCGGTGCTGTTCGTTGATTGCTTTGGTTCGATATGATTGAGATGCACTCACTCACATCTTTGAATTTAAGGATATCGCTTATTCTGGCTGGAACGCCGACAATGACATCCACCACACGACATTTTTGCACAAAAATGGTTCAATTTTATCTGATTACGACCTAAAATGACCAAAAATCAACTGAAAACAGTGGTATCGTTCCCTACATTCGTGGCTCATAATTAGCTAATCATGTAGCACTATATCAAACTGAGGAGATTTTACCAAAAAGCTATGGGGAGATTGACAGTTCCCTGACAATGGCACTTACAGTTAAATTACTACGACTTGATGCAGCCCTTCTTTACCTAGCAACGGATCGATATAGCACTTTGCGTTTGTTACTCTGTACTTTGCTACTTAAAATTGAACGGTCTTCGTTTAACACTTGACCTGATCAAGCTCCAGTCGATCGTCAACTTGCCAATTGATAAGTGAGTCTGGAACATTCAGTCTACGATCCGTTATCGTGTATTTTAGCGTGAAGGCGATCGCAAATGGCAAACGCACCTCTCCTGATATACGTTGGAGGATATATGTATCGGTAACTAGGAGTAGCGCTTTTGAGCGAGCTTTTCCACCCTGATGCGCGTTTGGCATCCACAGCTTTTTCTTGATGATCAGTGACATCAAACGTACAAAGCAGTGTATTTCAATACTGCAATCTGTGGCAAGCATGCAGGGTGTAAACCCTCATCAGCCCTTACGCTGAATCGCCTGCAGGCAAAATCTGCAGCTTATCCGTGGAATTGTTTCTGAATACATTCTGAAATGCGTCGTAAGATATCCATGAATGCAGCAAGTACTGGATCGAGAGGTATTCCCGCTTTTTTTGATACTTTGTTCCGACCAAACAGACCCGGCAACTGCCAGCCAACATTGAGCTGTTCCACTACATTGGTCTCCAGGTTACGTCTCGAAAGTCGTCATGTATACATACAGCACGATCGCACGTCAAGGATCAAGAGATCGCAACGATTGGGCCAGTTGACAATCCATATGAGCTGCATAGCTGCGAAAGAATGGGTATACCTTACACTCGCTCTTCCTTAAATTGCGCGAGTGCTAGAATGAGTTCTTCCGTCGATAGTAGGGAACTCATCGAGTAAAGCACCTCCGGACTATTTGCAGTCAGATCTGCACACATTCTTAGACTGATAGATCTCAGGCGACGATGTCTGCACCAAGTCTCTTATGACGGATCGCCTCCGAACATGACTCAGATCTTCTGTATGGTGCCATTTGTCTTCTAAATTCACAGGCATCATCCGACTATCATCAGGTGAGACCGATGGCTGGTGAAGTGATCTCCACATCAGAACAGAAATACACAAGGATGCCATCAAGCTCGCCATCATAGTACCAGACTGATATGTCCACGCAGCATTCCCCATTCTCGTAAATATCGTAGAAATGAACTTCTCAGGAGACCCCCCTTCGCATACAAGTAAGTAGCTCCAAGGATGTCGATCCCGTCGCAGATTCTCAAACGAGAACATGCAGTGTACGGCAACTTTGCTCTTCTTCGCGACTGCGATGTCCAGTGCTCGTGGTCATACGCAATCTCTTAAGTATTTTCCAGATCACCTTCACGTTGAACCGGGTGTGGTTGCGGAATTTGCGATCATTGCGGGTTTCCTTAGTTTGTCTTTATGGCTTCCGACTTCTTCGTGTCCTGATTTTCCTGTGCGGGTTTCTCGCTGCGGGGTTGTTGTTCTCAGCTGCACTGGAGAGTACGTTTGGACTGACAAATTGGGTGCTCGCAGCTTCATGGATCGGGTGCATAATTGCGGGCATCGCAGGAGGTTGCATCGCACTAGCATTTTTCCCGTTTGGGGTATTTCTGGCGGGTACCATGTTGACTTATGCGTTCACCTCGTCGCTTCCCTATCGCGTGTTCCCGGATACACCCAACACTGCTCTGGACGTTGTCGTAATGCTCCTAGGCGGCATCTTGGCGTGGCTGCTAGTACAGCCGTTTGTAATTATTGCTACCAGTCTTATGGGCTCGATCGCGGTCATTTGGGGCATTGGTTACTTTGCCGGCAAGTACCCGACCGATGACGATATTGAACATTTCCATGTGCATGAAAAGAACTGGAGGACGTGGATGATACGAAGTCCCAGGATCCTGGTGGGTGTACCTGGCTGCGATACTGCTGCTGTTTGTAGTCGGAATACTCAAACAAGCTCGCGATGCTAACAATGCACGTAATCGCAGCCACATTGGCCGCTACACTGGCCGCCGATCGAACGTTTTTCCGTAAGGGCAGCAAGTTGGATGATAAAATCGGGCTACAGCGGAACCGGGTTCTAACGACGCCACGTTTCCATTTGTTACCGTTGATATTGTCGGATCACTACAGCCCGCTTGCCGTGTGGGTTGTTGCAGGTCACGTGTCTATCCACCTGTTTATTATGGCTCCACAACCAGCATCGCACGATCAATAATAGCGCGCAAGTCGTCTTTCTCCATTATAGCTTGACTTCCATCGCTGCAACATACTTCCATCGAATCATCCTGGTACTGTGCTGCACGATCAGTGAGGCCGTCCAGCAAACTCTCTTCCAGCTCTAGTGTAGATGTGGTTGGCAGATCAAAGCGCGTAATGACGTAGCGCAGCCACGCAGCAACGTCATTACCCTGGAAACCACTTGCAGCCGTCAATCGGTCCGTCGCAATCTCCAACTTCTTGCGTAGATCGTCAAAAAATGGATCACCTGCATTCTCGTCGACCAGCTCAGCATACCGGTCGAATACAAACGGCAGAAAAGCTGTCACAACCTGTGCATGCGGCAGATCCGAGATACCGCCTGTAGATACTGCCAGCGCTTGTGCTGCTCCTGTTCCCGACGAGTTGGTCGCAATTCCTGAATATACGCTACCCAGCGCGAGCTGCTCACGCAACGCTATGTCCGTGACGTCCAAATATCCTTGCTCAATTGGTGCACCAAGAGCGCGTGCCAGTAACTCTAGCCCCTTTAGTGTTAAGGCATCATCTGCTCCACCCAGCAAATAGGATTCCAGGCACTGCCCTAATGCCGTCAATGCACCTTGTAATGTCGCTCGCAACGGTACTGTCAGCATCAATGTGGGATCAATGATCACCGCCTAACAGTGCACACCAATCACTCAGTGAGTTTCACATACATCGCAGATGTAGCCATGTGAGAAATCAGTACCACCTCCGGCACGATCGCCCTTCCAGCTGCAAAAGGCACCTTCATTTCACTATCTTCTTCGAGCAACATAGTACTTGTAGCCACCTCTGCACCACTGCCTGCAATTGTCGGCACAAGCAACAGTGGCGCCGTCTGAAGTTGTCCTTGCTGCAACATAAGCTGCTCTTGCTCGCTTTCTACAGTCGCAGCAGCTACGAAATCTGCTGCTCGCCCGCCATTGGCCATAATTACTGCCACCGCTCGAGCCAAGTCCATCGTGTTCCCACCACCGAAAGCCACGACACTATCAGCGCCCACACGCTGTGCCATGGCAGCTGCGTGGTCCACTCCATTTAACGTAGCACAGTCCCGCTCGAGCGTGTACTGAAAACTTGGTACACCCGCTTGAAGTAACAAAAACTCCATGAACCGGGCGCGTGAAGTGGCTGCAGCGTCGCGGTCGCGCACGAGCAGCACCTTCCGCATCCCACTCGCGCGACTTAAGGCGCCCAGTTGAGTCGCAGCAACTTTAGCTCCAAAAAGGACCCGACTTGGCTGACCGACAGCACTGAGCTTTAGTGGACGGACATCGAAACAGTACGAGGTGTAGCGCACGCTACAGTTCAGGAGAAGGCGAGAGCGAGCGCGCAAGTGCCGCAGCATAACGTGGACGAGCTGCACAGACTGGATTGGATGGACCCGATTGCACGGATAGATAGAGGACTCCAAACGTTACGGTAAGTGAGCTTGTGATTTTTTAGAGGTCGTTAAAATAAAGTCGTGGACCCTTCTTTTTGTGGAACGCTATTTTACCCAGAACGCGGTCGAGCAAGACCCGGCCCATTATTGTGGACCGCCACAGCTCGTCGAATCAGCAGCCAGTGTATCCTGACGAGCTCACAGTGCAACTGCAAGCCACCAACAGAGTTCCTCCATAGCAGCTGTTTTCGATTGTTTCTGTCGGGGACTTTTTCGCCAATAGCAAACGATCATGATGGTGGCAACTAGTTGGAAGTCGTTTAGGATGGATCGACTATGGACTCGAACCCTAATGCGAAAATTTGGGAAGGCGTCGGTCGTCGTGCGTAAGATGTAGAGTCAAAGCTGTTTTTCATCCAGGATTAGCACAACGGGACAGCAGACGGAGTCTTAAGTCGTGGAACTCCGTCAACTATGAGATCACAATCGCATTTGCCTCCTTCCAGTACAAACGCAAGTAAGCTAAACTGAACTCCGTTGATCTCCCAAACAAGATGCTGTCAGCTGTCCTGTGCTTGGCAGTGGTCTGCTCTGCGTTGCTGTCAATCACAGACGCCAAGCAACTTATCGAGAACGACGCGCGCGTTTTGCAAGCCGCGCCGACAACGTCCTGGCCGAGTCTTTACTTTGCCGTCACACTCAAGGGCGGTGCTATGGTGTATGGACAATCTGAATTTCCCATGTTTGCCAATCCGGTTTTGTCAAACAACGGAAACAGCGTGATCTATAATGTCCTCGCTCCGTTCCGAGAAAACTTCTTCTCACCTGCGTTCGAACAAACGGTAGTACTTACCAACTACACGATCGTCGATGGTCTCGCCTTTCTGGTAAACATCTCGAGTGCAGACTCCTATACAGTTCCTTCCACTGAATGTCTGAGCACGGAATCAGGCAAACTCGCACTCCCGCCAATTAACGCGATTGTCCGAGGTATCATGTCGGCTACGCGCATTGCAGCCCCGGACAGTGCTGACCAGTGCACGAATGGCCAGTATGACGTCTCAGTTGGTGACAACAAGTATACTCTGTGTGCATCGACGGACCAGAAGTTTTCGCTGACTGGAAGTAACATGGACATCGCTGTGAGCTTTGCGAACTTCTGGGGAACCCCACCAGACTTTGGCACACGTTCTGGGTGCAAGGAGGTGGTCAAGCCAGTCGCTGTGGCGTCGACCGGAAAGTCGCTACTGACTACTAAGTAGGCCTCTGCCGGCATCGGATCGGCCTTCGATTGGTACAAGAAGTCAGTTTGCTATCTAGCGACGTTAGCATCAGCAAGGATGCTTTGACTGCACAGTCCTTCTGACTCAAGACGGTATGAAACAAACAAGTAAGAACTACAGATGATAATGGTTGAGGCAAAATGTTTTAGTGTTGATGTTCACGTCTGCATCCGTTCTGTCGATTTCGTTCGATACGAGAGACCTGTTTTTCCTTACTTCTTTTGAGAAACGTCGTTCAGCCACCACTCTTTCGTTTTTTACCAGCACCCACAACTTGTTAAATCTAACTCTATGTTCATTTGGAAAGACGTTGTGTTTGATTGGTCACGCAAGTATACAGCGTTGTAAAAGCCATTTCACAGATTTTTTGCAAGATATTGAATGAGGTGCTGTTGAAATACACACACGTCTTTTGTTTGATCAGCATCGGTGGTGGTGGCGCTACATATATGCACTAGCGTTGTTAATTTTCTGTCTATCACACGGGCAAGAAAGATAGGGCCAGCTTCTAAGAAAGCAAGGAATAGCAGGATGCTCTCGCTTCTCGTCACGTGTGCATACATAAACCAATTATAAAATGGACCGATGGTACAGCTGTACGGTCCGCTATTTACAAATGCAGACTGTGACGGGGTGAGCCGTTCCATAACAATTTATAAGAAATTGTTAATAGAATGTATAACTATAAGAGTTATATTCTCAGAATATCGTCATAAGGACAAGTATTCTGCAGCACTTACGAGTAGTTCCTAATTGGTTGATATAGGCCATTACATCAACCAACGAAGACGCGCCACGACAGACGCACGCAATGAGCGGTGAGCAGATAGTTGATATGCACATTTGTATTCAGACATAGTTAGATGAGGATAAACAGTGGTTTATTAACAGACATTAACTATAATAAATACAGCTCTACTTTTTACTTTAACCAAGTACTCGCTTCTCCTTACCGTCTTCCTCTGCACGTTTCAGCGTACGTAAAGCTACGCGGCACCGCCTTATTCTGTCATCAGAATAAGTAGCTTGTACTGTCATCAGTACAAGCTTCAGGGTGCCCCGTTACGCAGACAAGTTTCCTTGATTTGCAATTAAGAACATCGTGCTGATATGTGCGGCTTTATGTCCAGGACTCGGTCACAAGGCAAACAATGATGATGAAAATGTCAGCAAGTAGGTAAGCAAACTTACGATTCGTGATTGGCACGAAAAGAGAAGAGGATACCGAAGCTCTTCTGATTAAGCATCGCGACCGCCATCATAATCGATACAATTGACTAGACGAATGTACTTAATGCAGATTTTAAGAAGCAATTCGTCCATATGTTATACCGAAAAGGCCCATCATCAAGACCAATTGACGACTTTTCTCCGATAACGCGCGACAATGAAGATGAGAAACTGGTGAGCAAAGGGGTCATGATTGTGATTTCCACATATGAATTGTGTTATCTAGTGTCCACTTTCTTGACGCCTGATGCTGGCACGAAACAAACACCTAGTGCTATGGCTGGAAGAGGCACGTTGGCGAGGTCCTTTTCGAATTGCTGAAGAGTTTGACTGGAAGCAGGCAAAGAAAAAAAATCACAGCACCATATATTTTATTGCCTACCCTTTTTGTGCGTTTGACAACAACGACATAGCCTTGTTTTCGTGCATTAGCTTCAATTGTTGCCTTTGCTTCCTCGCAAAGAATCGTACTCAATCTCAGGAGATGGCCCGAGACTTTCCATCGCAGTGAGCAATTAACATATGAGCTTAAAAATTAATTTAGAAGGCAACAAAGAAACGGACACACGTGTAATTGTAGAAATTGCTTTAAATACTAAACCTTATCATTACCTAATGAAATACAACTTCTTTCAAATTTAATATAGACTTGTATCAATGATTGGTCGGTGGTGGTTGATTAACGAAAAGGTCGGTGGCTGAAAAACGTTTCCCTTTCTTTCTTGTGATAATCAACCGAATTCGTCTCAATTTCGTTGCACGTGTCAGGTACGAATAAAATACTGAGCAAGACATCGCTAGGATGAACGACTAACAGTCTAATCAGCAACGATAAGCCTCTTGCGTCTGATGTTCTAAACAGTCTAATCAGCAACGATAAGCCTCTTGCGTCTGATGATCTATTCATGCTAAAAAAGTTGTCTATTTTGCAATTCAACAAGAACAGTTGAAAGTAAAAGTAATATATTCAGTGTCAAATTCGTTCGTTTACACTACCCTACATATCTCTGTATCGACACTGCAACTTGACCAGGTCAAGTGGCAGATGGCGCAAGTCCAGTCCGTGTGTCACCATGTGCCAATGCCATGCGCTTCACCTGGTCCCACTGTCTCGACATCCTTGTCGTCTTGAAGTAGCGTCCGTCTATCCGCACTGCCTTATTCAGGTTGTCAGAAGAACAATCAATCAAGTGAGGTCGAAGCTTACCTGTAACAGGTCTTCCATTTAGCTCCCTCAAGTTCGACGACCTGTGAGATGTATCGTATCCTTAAACTCCTACTCTGTGTCATCCTGAATGGTCTTCAACTTGAATAGTCACGCAAGGCAAAATCCTCGGCGCGGGCAATGCCTTCGTCAAGAGGTCTGCCATCGTGTCGTTCGATTTTTATGAAGATCGGGTCCACCACCATAGCTTGAACGTAGTAGAGGATGAGCTTGAAACGAGTGTCCTCGTGTTTTGCACTTGACAAGCTCTTCTACGGCTTCATACAGTTGATCACAGCTTAGTTGTTCATCCACATCTGCATTAGCGTGTCCAAATCCATTTTGAATTCGCCGAATAGTTCCTTCAAACCCAAAATATCGTGACCCGCGTGCGACGCTGGGATAAACTTCACCTCCATGAGCTCAGCAATACACCCGTCTGTTTCTTGCACGGCCATAATACGACAGCACCTACCATCGTAAGCACGGATCCCGTAGCAAATTCGCGGTCCAACTTTTCCGCGGAAAAGTCGCATCACATTAGCGTTCAATCTTGATCAGAAATGGTCCTTTCTTGATGTTGATGCATAACATTAAGCTCCTTGTCTCCGTTAGATACCCCGCGACTCGCTTCGCCATCTTCCAATCATTGACCTTCGTCTTGTGTGTCTATCGAGTCGCACGATGAAATGCAGAACCGATATCCGATCGAGTGCAACGCGCAATCCAAACTTCAGATGAGTGGCTGGGATTCCTTGGCACTCGCATATCCATTTTTGCCAGTATCTTTCAACAACCTTGAATCTGCTTCGTCAACATTGTTGTACTAGGAGTCAATAGGCTTACGGACACCATTTGCGGTTGCCAACCATGTTACTCAATAGCAAGTCAATAATAACACCTTAGTCCAAGGCGTAACCTTCATTCTCGTTCGACGTGACATGTACTCCGAGTAACTTGTTCACAGTGCCTGTGTCGTTGATTTTCAGGGATGCCAAGTCCGTGAAGAACTGTCTGATAACACCGCTCGATGTCCCGGTCATCAGCACAAGTGTTACGACCGTAACACTTGTGTCTGCTCGGTTGACGTAGAGACACATGTCCGTTGTGCACTGTCTGTAGTCCAACTCGGTCAACTTGTTGTGCAGCATATTGCTCCAAAGTCTTCCGGCTTGCTTTAATCCGTACAAGGATTTCTTAAGCAACAACGCAAGCTGCTTCGCGTTCGTAGATCTACAGAGGTCAAGGTAGCTTGATCGATTTGCATTCCACTTGATACATTCATGTCGACGTCAAGATCCTGTACTTGTTCAACCTTGACTTACGCGTTCGGAACTTCACCATGTCGTGCTGGTACGTTCCATCTTCGCGAAAGTATCAGTATGACCTTGACAGTTTCAAGCTTTATGACTGCAGCGAAGGTTAGGGTATAGTCGATACCAAACAATCGCACGTCTCCGCACATGTATGGCCTTGTATCGTTCAATCTTCCCATTTACGTCAATTTCGTCCTAAAGAACCCCTATTTGTGCAGCATCTGTGCATTTTCCGGTGGCACGACCACCGTCCATACACTATTCCCTTCCATATCTATCAGCTCATCCTTGCTGGTCATGGCCCACTTGTGTTTTCTGTCGCTCCGTACGGCCTCACCGAATTTCGTCGGATCGCGCACGCAAACGAATCGATCACGTTTTCTTCGTTGTTGATCCTATCCTCATCACTTGAGGTAACTTGTTTGTCCCGTCTTGATATCGTAATGTGTGGACACGTGTCCATCCTGACAGTCTTGTCGTCTTCTCGTCTGGGTAAGTCTGGTAACGGTGCTCGTTCTGACCATCGGCACCGTTCATCTTTGTGGTCACACTTTTTCTAAGTACGTCGGTCAGGATTTTCATGTTCTTCAAATGTTAGGTCACCACCATAACACGCTCCATCGACATGCATACCCGATAACCCTTCATCTCATTATTCTTCTTCTGATGATGATCGTCTTCCCTCGAGCACTCAACGACTTGTTCGCAGTCGTTCGATGGACGGCACATTTGGAACCGAAGACCACAATGTCGCTTATGGTGGGTCTCTTCTTGGTCAACATCTCAATTGGGAAGATATCACCTTCGTTTGCCTTGGTGGGACTCCGGTTGAGGATGTAGGCTGCATACTCCACGGCATCACCCCTAAACGTCGAAGAAAACTCACTTGCAAGTACCATGCGTTGCGCCATATTCATGGTGATGGGATGCATCCATTCGGCTTGGCCATTGTCAGCTTGGTTGACACGCTCACTTACTTGACGAGCGATACCAGTTTCCTTGCAAAACACATCCAAAGGATTGTACTCGCCTTCACCGTCTGTGCGGAAAACTTGTATGCGGAAATTAAATTAACGCTCAAATACCACCAAGAAGTGTTGAACTGCATTGCAGCTACGTCCTTCTTCCTGGCAAGGAACACTCGGCAATAGTTCGAACAGTGATCAGTAAAATTGATCAAGTATCGATTGCCGAGCCGATCACGGGGGTTCATAGGACCTGTCGGGTCCGAACAAACCACACACCCGATCAATTTCATAAGTAAATCCAACCAACTGTACATCCTCGATTGTCTATTTTTCGTCTGCTTGCCTTGTGCACAGGCCAGGCACTTGACGCACGTGGTACCAGTTAGGCTGATGCTAAAGGCGAGGTCTTGAGCCATTTTCATGACGGTGTCGTAAGACAAGTTACTCAAACGCCAATGTAAATACAACGAGATTCCATGTCGAACATCGATGTCGAAATCATTCGTAACGTTTTACAACGACCGTCATGATCGCGTCGCAAAGCGACGTTACTCCACGAAAATCACCCATCGATGTGCCATCAATATCTTCGACATCCAACAAGGTGTGATGTGATCGACATCCGTAGTGGGAGAACCGCCAGAATGCTATACCAATACACGCATCCATTTGAGATATTTCATAGCACATCTCTTTTTTTCTATCTAATTTGCCAAAATAAATGATTTTACGCTTTAAATTGGATGTGTATCGAACGTTAAGAAGTTGGGTCGTCTTAGTGAAGCCGAGTGCTTTGACCAGGATCATCACGCTTCCTTAAATGATTATCCGGAGAGTTCCACTGTATGAAGCAACAGTAAAGCATCTGGTTCAGTTTACCGCATCTTCAGCAAGCTCAAATTGTTCACCAAGTGACGACCGGATTCGCTGTCAACACCCTATGACTAAGTATTTCGTATCGCCCCCGACACTGTCGAGATAAATTCTGCGTCTTAATTCTCTTTAGTTATTTTTAAGCACTGCATCTTAAGGCTTACGGTGTTATCACATGTAACATTGCTTAAAGCCTTGTTTACCGTGACGTTTCTTGACACATTCAGTCCTCCGGGTTGCTCAGTTTGGTCGTCAGCGTTGACAACTTCGCGACCGAAATTCTTCACTCGCATGTCAATCTCCGTTGACTGCGCGAATTTAGCCAGCTCTCCACCAAAGTGCTTCACTCGCACGTCAATCTCCGTTGACTGCGCGAATTGAGCCAGATCTTCAGTGATTGAGGCAGTCAAACCTAATCAAAATTTAGCCGAGACGTAATTGTCGCGCGCTGCGACGGGTCTGTATAGTGCGCGATGTTGTCTAGCGCGAGGCTGTCCGCATCTCTGCACGCGTCGCTTACAGCGGTCAAGTACAAACTTCAGTCCATTTTCGCTAGCTTCACTGGGACGTTTTGGACGCAGTAAAAAATCTCCTACTATGGGCAGGTGTGATCTTTACGTTAAAGGTCTGAAGCATCCTTTGCATCGCATAATCCAAGGTCTGGCTCTATGCCACCGAATTCCCACACGCCTTCGGTAATACATCTGCGCTGTTCCGGCGAGGTAAAGGCTGAGAACATCAACCTTGATGTCCTCGGGACACGTGAAACTCATGTACGCTCCAAAGAGGCAACGTATCAAACAAAATATTTGTCCCATTCAATGAAGCCACTACCACAAATCCGAGGTAGAGCTCCTTGCGGTCGAAAGGTTGCAGCGCCAGCTTCCTTTCATGTCCATCCTGTACATCTTTGAGTACCTGCTCGGGTTAATTTAATTGGCACATGTATTAACAAGAACATCCCTGCGGGTACATGTCGTCCTGGATATGTTGGAAATTAAGTTATATTATAGTTAGACACGGGTGTATGAGAAAAGGACAGGTCGTTAGAACAAGAAGTTCTTGCAGATGACACTGATAATGTCGCTATGTGGGGACGGATAGCACCGTTAGTATATAACATAGCATTCGGAAACACCTCAAACATATTAAATCTTCATTTTACCTTCCAGTACGCAAGTGTGATAAAAGATACTCATTTAAAATGGTTATGAGCCCGAAGATAACGAAGTACACAAGCGAAGGGGTGCCGAAAAACTGGGACGGCAAAGATTGGCAGACACGCAATTGGAGATGATTACTGTCGTTAAGGAGAACGGCCTCAAGGACATTGCAGTCGGTAATTTGACCAATGTAAAGCTTGCATCTGATCCTGAAGTAAAGTAAGAAGAGTTCGTAAAAAGCAGCTAAAATTCATGCGGATGATTGGTACGTCAATGCCTCCAGAAGTCCTGCAGCAGATACGCGACAACGAGACGTGACCGATTATGTGGAAAGAGCTTTTCAATATGAACGAAGGGAAGAAGAACGAAGCAATAAGGTCATATACGATTCGTCGCGTGGAACATGAGCTGTGGAACATGAAGTTTACACGTGGAGGAGATGTGAATCTACAAATGTGTAAGATATTCGGCCTTGAAGCGGAATTGATAAATTATGAAGCACATGGTGGAAGATAATACTAAAATTTGCATGCGTCTTGAAAGTTTACTAGATCAGATCGAATTTGAGCGACTTAAGTCTTCGATCTAATATACTGCAGACCCTTATGTGTATATAGCGGCTCGAGTTCGTGAGCTGATTTTTCGCCGCGTCTACCAGACAAATAGAGTTCCGAGGCAAACACGGTAACTGGAAAACAAAGGTGGGTTTCGCAGTAAAAGTCACAAATTTGGTGTGGACCGAGGTGCCAAACACCAAAATGATATTCTTGAATCAAGAAAGATTCGAGCGTATTACATATGTGGAGGTGACAAAAACCTTAAAGCTTTCTGTCCCTATAAGGCTCAAGATTCAGACAGACATGGATCGTCGAACTAGAAGCAAAAGCTGCGAGGAAACTTCTCAACTGGCAAAAAGGTTATGCAAAGAGTGATTGAGATGCATCTATCAAGGTGAGTACTAGAATGGCCTTGAACCTACAACGAGGTATGAAGCGCTAAGTAACAGATGCTTAGCACCGCATGAGCCTCATGGTAATGATATCCACGAGATAACGAATGAGACAGAAGATGCATCGGATATCAGCCACAAGGAAGATGTGGATGAGAGTAAAACTATGTGGTTTTTTTTTCCTATTTTGACGCTGCGTCAAATTCGCACGTTTCTGGGAATTAAGCATATTTTTTGACGTTCTCAGAGGTGATACAAGTTTGCATGGCATGCGTGGCGTGGCGCCGAATTTCGTAACGCGTATTGCCGGTTCGGGAACCGGAGGACTGGTCGCCGAAAAGGAAGGGGAAACATTGGCAGTTTCCTGAATAATTTTTACATATCCCGGAAGCAGAATACGGATCATTTTCTCCAGGCCATGCATTTCGCCAGGGTATTACATTTCAACTTGAATAAACCACTCAAGTCCTTTTTGTCATATTAAACAAGCGGGCGGTGGCTTTAGCTAATCCGCAAGATGATACTTGAAGATTAAGAAGAGCATTTTCTTTTCAGAGATATGATATGTTACCACAGCGTTGTGCAACTACACGATGGCCGATGGAGTAGGGTCTTTGCAACTTTGGTATGAGAGACTTTGCCACACCTGTCAACAGTATCTGAAAACCATGGTGAGCAAAGGACTGGAACTAGGCATGGTGCTAACACAAAGACAGCACCGCACGTGCAACCCATGCCATTAAGGAAAGCAAAAGCGACAAACGCATTGGAAGAAGCTTGATCGCGCGACAAATGAGCCAAAATATGTGGTATATGCGGATTTGCTAAGACAGGGACAGGCAAATGCGACTAAATTTGCGGCAGTGCTGGCAATTATGGGTGGCTGCTTAAAGTTCATTACCATAAAGCTACTCACACGCAAGGAGAGAAAGGTAATAAATCAGCATATGCAGGAGTACATTCTATAAGCAGAACGGCAAGCCGGTCGATACATAAGCAATCGTTCATGCAAAGTGAAGCAAGTACTCAGTGACAAAGGTGGCGAGTTTTGCAATGATGCAATGGAGGCTGGTATTGCTCAATGGGTATTGTGCACAATTAAGTTGGACCCAAAAGCACCCAGTGAACCTGTGTGAGAGAAACCATCAAACCTGATATACGCCTTATCAGAAAGTTTGGAGCCTGGGGAGGTCCCTGCAAAACCTTTGTTAACAGATGGTTATTGTCTCCATCCACCTCAGAATGCGCCTTCGTAGCCGCTAAAGTATCCGCCAATCTAGTAACATGCCTCAGTCGGTCGGCAACGTCGAGGTGGGTAAAACTTAATCCGATGAAGTGTTGAGGCGATAGTGGTATACTGAAAAACACGCGGTGATGCTCTGCTTGAATACTGCATGTGCGCCCACCGTACCTGGCACTCGAGTGATATGGCGTATAGCATATTTAACAGGGAACGCGTGTAAAGTGTCGATTTTGCTGAAGGAAGAGCTCCGTACCGGCAGTCGATATAAGCGTAACCAGCTTGATTTCATCAGGACATGCCACCGCATCATAAGTCGCAACAAAAAAGGGGGAATCGTGCGTGTCCGATCCGTGTGAGCACCCACAAGACACTAAAGTTACCGCAAAGGACACACTAGACTCCGAATTTGCTTAAATTGTGCTAGACGCCACTTTATTATTCACGAGAATCGTGACTTTAAGTGTAAATTATTTCGACCTGCAGCCGTGGCTAGTACCGAGGAAATAATAGTGTATTCTCGCTTTAAGATAGTGGGACACTAAAGATGTAAACGCTTTACGCGAAACAAATTTATCGTAGCATAACAACTTGTAGCAGCCTCCTGGTCGGGCAAGCAAAGTCAGTTATCGCGTGTTAGCGTCGTAAATTGTCCGCTTGGCCCCTTCGATAGGAGTAGGATCTTCTTAGCAATGCATTTGGGCATGCGCAAAAACGAAGGCATAATTGCAATAACCTTTCCTTCCAGGTATGCTTCGAAGAAATCAAGCAACACAACCCGCGTAGCACGCGGATGCGTACACACTAAGAACCCTGTCGGCATTAACAGAACAAAACTATCCATCATCCAAGCCACCAGAGCTACTTCTTTAAGAGTTTTCATCGGGCGCAGATCTTTGTTCACTTTTTTGATCCGCGCCCTCGTAGCCGTATGAATCATCTCTTCACTGCGGTCGAGGAACGTTCCGTTGAAAATACCGGAGGCGTCACTTATACCCGTCGGTGCGCCTCTACTCTGTGAGTATTCACCGGCTCACTTAAGTGCATCGCGACTCGGCGAATACTCGCCAGCACCGTTAAGTACACGTTCACACGGCGATTATTCGCCACCATGGTTAAGAGCGCCTCCTCTCGGCAAGCATAGGACGTCACCGCTTCGTTCGCAAGGAGCCGGCAAATATACACCAGCTCCATTGGTGTAATGCTCTAAGGTATACTCGGTGGTGCCAACGAGGGTGCACGAAGGGTGGATTCCCCACAATCAAAATTGCGTGCGTCGGGGCCGGCCACCGCCGCAGCGTACAAACTCCGATCAGCCGCCACCTTAAGTACAGGATTCGGCACGCCTGCTGCCCCGGTTTGGATTGTTGCGCCCGCTTCTACACCGACGACCTCACCTGGCTCCATGGGAAGATCCAGGCCGTGGACCCAGTTTACGCGCGCATCAGAAGTCCTAGTCGGTATCAGGGACCCGGCCTGCATCTCTCCGCCTGACGCAGAGCTCAAAAGTTATTAGCACCCTCCTTCGTATCACGTTGTTCATTTGCGTACTTGAGCGCAAATCGGGAGGTAGTCAGAATTAAAGAGTTTGCCCACTTGTGCTGTCTAACGAGATTACGAAAAAGTCCCTTGAATGCTTATTTAGTCATAAGAATATAGTCTGCTTAGCGTGTAATCAAAATGTTTCCAATCTGAATACGTCCCATTTCTAGATGCAAGCACTTAGTCGAACAGGCTTGGTGCTTCCGATTGCATTTATTATTTGCTAATTGTCTCCATACAAATTGGTGATTTTGCGTATTCTACCTCAAAGAGCTCACGGATTTTGACTGCCATATGCCATATGGCCTGGGCTGTGTGTCCATTTAACTCCTCAATTAGAACGTGAAACATGGCTAGCAGAGCTACAGCCTTAGATGCTACATGTAGAGTCATTGCTGCCGTCCTATAGATCCCGCGGTCTTTAAGCCTTGAGCACAAGCTTCTCACCAGCTATGTCACTTGATGAAGATGAGGCAAATAACCGTGACTCAGAAGTGCCTGATTAGTTTAAAAAGTTGCTTTTGCTTCTTCTTAAAGGGCGGAAGAGGTGTCCTTCCATCGCGATCCGGTGGTCCGGTCTTGCTCAGCATTAAAGTCCCGAGGTTCTTGAAAATGATCTTCGTCGGCTTCTTAGATTCTACGTGAGCCCGTTTCATCCCGCAAAAAGAGAGGAACGTCGGCATCCCGCAGCCTCCCCTCGCCCCCCCCTTTGAAGGGGAGATAAGTAAAAGGCTCTTCGTCTGTCGTGCGCTGTATCTCCTGGTTGAGGCCAGTGGCAACTGTTTCCTTACCTCCCCAATATTAATCAAAGTGAAGACTGGCAACTTGAAAGGTGGGAGAGGAGGGTAAATAAATACACGTCGACGGATCCTATGTAATTTGTATATTTTGACTCGTTAAATCCCTTGAGAGGCACGCTACACTTTTCTTGCGTATACATCCATGACATATGACTACTATGTCACTTTTTAGCAGAAACGGCTATATAAGCATAATGGCAAAAAAAATTGAAGGAAAAAAAATAATCCACAACCCCCCCCCGGGGGACCCCAAACAAAAACCCCCCCGCCCCCCCGGCGATTGTGCTGGTGTGGTAAATCGCTGTAATTATTCATTCTATATCCACCGTACATCAAGGTTGCCAACTATGGGGACAGATAAACAGCATCAGCAAATCATGACTTACGATGACCGCGACAACTACAATGCCACTGCCATCAATGCAGCTAGCTTCAAGACAAGCAACTTCAAAGATTGACGAATAACAGGCATTTTATACAATTCGTCGATGGCGGAAGACTATCACTAGCGCATGTTTTTGAATAGAAGAGCACGAAGCCATACAAAATGTTAAGTGGCGTGCTTATGTGCGCCTCAAACTAGTGCGCTGTGCTCCGCTAGAATACTACTACATTAAAAGAGCCACAGCGTATAGATTTTCGTATGATTCCTTTCGATCGCTGCCATCTGCATCTTCTAAAATAGCTCGTCCTTCATCGGTCATCGCCTGCTAGCAATCACCATTACAGTAAATACGATTGAAGGCTGTAATTAGGTAGGTATATATAAAAATAGGATCTTAATATCGAGATTTAATTATGTATTACCTAATAAGATCAGAAAATCGTTTTTGATTGGCCGAATCATCGTCGGTACAATGACCAACTCGCAGCCGGTACGATTTAACTTCCCTGGTCTAATATGCGATTTTAGATATTGTGGTGAAAGAAAAGGTATTCGTTTACCATCCCACAGGCCTTAATTAATATCCCATTTACCCCTTTCTACAAAGTCTATATAATTAAACTCCGAATATGAGAATTAAGATAGAAGTATTGATTCGTCAATTAAAATATACGTTAAAATGAATGTACGGGGAACCATGGTAAGCTCCTTTCTCGTTAGCCTGTATAGTCCCGCACCCCTTATTACGATACGGTATCTTTGGCTAGAAGGTTCTCTGGGATACTCAGTTACAACGCGCCTTAATTGCTAAATGTCAGGGCGGCCAAAAAAATTGTAGTTGAGCGTCTTCTGCAATAGGGCCTCTTGATAAGGTAACTGAGCAGCAATTCGAATACTTCTTAAACTATACTTCTCCAGTAAGGCGTTCAACCAACGGCGCCGTTTACACAATATCTTTAAAACACTAAAAATTAGGCATCTTCCTCCGTTTTGTTTTAGCGAAACCGACTTTTTGCTGTAGACCACCACGGAAAATGCAGCTCACAAATATGGCGCTCTTAATTTGATTTCTCCAAAGCCTGTTCAGTAAAAAGTGCGCTTGCATAAATGTGTCATAGCAGTGTGTAACAATCGGCAACGGCCCCATCTTTTGCGCCTCGCTCCAGATCAGAGCTAAGTTTTCCAGAAATCCAGAAAAAAGTCTGCGAATGACACGAAAGCCCTCGAAAAATCATTTTCATGAAGAAGAAGATGGTTTGCGTACAGAAAAAGTGTGTAGTGGTTGCATTACACGCGCGAAATGCGGGTTAATAACTGATAAAGTAACACGAAGGGTATACTTACCTCACGATCATTTTAAGTATCGGGATGTGAAGGGGGCTTGTACTTATCACTCAACTTTTAAAACTTTCAAAGCATCTACGGAGGTACATTAACACAACCAAAAGTGTAATAAGATATTTAATTTGATTACAACAAGAATTAAAGATAAGCGTTTATAACATCTCTTGCTTCCTATGATCGACCACCCCCTGGGTACCACATGTTCCCGGTGTCGGTGTTATTATGAATCGACCTTTTGAACAGTCCTTTTTATTTGCCGAGCAAACAGCATTCTCACGCCAAAGACGATATCGTTTCTCTCGTACCCATATACTCTATATTATATTTACCGTTATCTATAAAAATGCTTGTAGTCCTATTAGAATGGCATGTCACCAGCTGTTAAATCTGCGCTCGATGCGCTAAAGAAGAACTTCTTAAGTAACTATTCTGCAGCAGGTGTGAGGTATGCTTGAAGGCTACGCTTAGTAAAAATGCAACGGGTGATAAACAACTGCCCAATCTGCAAACGTATAATGCACTTACAGTTTTAATTTGACGTCTTTTGCCATTGAATACGAAGCATCAGCACACCGAACAAGCGAACAAGTGCCAGTCCCAGCACTAGATGCCCTTATGAGTATGTGAACTAGCGTATTGATCAACTTCATTGACATGAGGAAGGCAGAATCCCACATCTCATCAATACGCATTTTCCTAAATGACTTGCACCTAGAAAATTGTGTCAACAGATCACAAATCCGCACCGATCTTCTGTAATTATGCGGAAAGTGCGCTCAATCTTCCTAGCAGTCGAAATTTGATGGTATATTCGTAGTTACTTTTAAACGCGCACTCAAGCAGCACATCCCAGCACCATTTGTAAAATTCACTTCAAAGCAGGAGCAGAAACAGGATGCAATTGACGACATTTTTTGCTGACAACAATACTGACAAGCCTGCCATGAGATATTAGATAATTAGATATGTGATTCCATCATAGAAGTTGTCAAGAAAACAAATTAATGAAGGATAGGTTTGATCTTGGTTCTTGACACAAACAGAAACTTTTTTTCAAGGTTAAACCCTTTGCCGAGTCTTATATCTACAATCATTTTTTCATACCATTGTTCAACCCTTCTATTCACACTAAATACAAATTCAATCGAGGGCGTTTCTACATTATACATTGTGCTTTCATTTCGCACCCCTCTCCTCCGCATGTTGTACGTTGCTTTAGCAGCATTTCTTTCTGTGCTGCGCTCTTACTACTTACTACCCCATTGTTGACCATGTGTTGAACTCTCACAGTGGGTAACGTAAAAATACACGTCCGACATCTCTGTTGACTACACGTTAAGCTATATGAGGAATAGTGCGGGAGTCTGTAGATGATCACAAAACTTTAGTGTGCCTTTAAATTGTTAAGCGCTGTATGTGTAATTTGAAATCGTCTCGATGATGAAGGTCTGCCAGAGTTGATCGTACAGGTGCTACCTGACGACAGTTTCTTGTGCTCTATAGCTTTAGTCTACAGCGTCCATGTCGTCGACGTTGCATGAGGATAATTATGTCTGAATGTGATCAGATATACACGAATTTTATAAAGACCCTTTTTTAATTCGCTCGCTCTCGCTGAACTGATCCTACAACACGAACGGCAGCACCTGTAGCAGAGATAGCATGACCGTTTGTATTCATTAAATGCTGTCTTCAATTATTATTATAAACATCACGAAGTCCGTAACATTACAGCATCGTGTTCGAGAGAAAACATGCGAATATTTTCGTGTCATCCCTTCGTGATGAAGGTCATTCCATATGGGAGTTGATTAAAAGAAGTACAGCAGTACAATTTTATTTTCAGGAGGCCATAAATCAAACCACTTGTTTACTGCATGGATAGAAGGCTCATTAATAAAAAAATGGAGGCTTAGCATCTTGTCTCTTTTTAAATGGATGTGAACATAAAGTCCACCGGTTCGAGGAAAGGGTAAAAACATTGTATCCGCAAACGGGCAATTCTAATCGTGACATTTGCGCCACCACATGATAAAGTACCTGTTGGGGCGAGAACTTACGTCCCGGCTCCATCAGACATGCCACCGACGTGCTCTCAGGATATGAACGGGAAAGACTTACTGGAATTAGTGTTACCACGCAAAAAGTAAGACTGCATGCATGTTAGAAATGGCTGGGGAAGCCGTGACCTCACCTGCTCCTCTATGATGCTATTCCAGTCAGTACACCTGAATCTATCAAAGAAGAAATAAAGCCTCGTCAGCATTATACTGACTCAGGCAAGGCTTCCTATGCTCCGATGACACATCCTATCAAAAGTCAGGGATATCATAGTACTCCGATAGCAGTCCTGACTCCGTTGGCCTACATCCGCTCTCAAGGTTATCACGACCAGATCTTACGCGCAACGA